ATTCAATTAGTTTCAGAACCCCAAAAAATCGCAAAAAAATCAGACCTTCGCTCAGAAACTTCCTACTGATCTCCCGCTTGCACGTATCCATATATTACAAACATTCATGTATACTAATGCTGTATTATTTCCTTGATTAGGGACAAAGAGAATGAAAGTTTTGGTTTTCAGTACAATGCTAAGCCTTTCTTACACAGAGTTTTCTATCCACAAATTTTTGTGAGTATAAGTTTGAATCCTAGCCTCTTAAAAGCGCTACCTTTCACAATCGATTTTAGAGCCAAAATACGGGAGAGTTGAGTTCGGGGGTTCTCGAAACCTGAGCTGGAAAGTAAAAATTTACAGTCATACCCACAAAGGTTTGTATAAATTTACTCATGTGAGATTTGCCCCTCATTGCTTTAAGAAAAAAAAATGGAAATTTTGTTTTCTTAGTTTCTAATCAAAGAAAATCATAGCAAAATATAACAACTGAATAAATAAATGCCTGATGTGAATAGATAGATGAGCGCAAGTGGGATATCAGCGGGAAACTTATGGGCGGAAATCTGATCTTATCGGATCTTATGGGCGTCTAAAACTTTTCAACTTTGGTTTCAAGATTCAACTGGATCTTTCACTTCTTCTCTTCTCTACTCCCTCCTCCTCCCTCTCCCCTCCGTACCCTCCTTCCGCCCAAAGTTCTTGATTGAGAAAGTTAAGTCGAAAGCAAGCAATAAAATATGCCGTTTGAAAAACTTATTCTAACTAGCAGGCAACTTGGGACTCACTCAGCTAATTTCTACGCAGTTCGTAACAATTCCTTTGATGGTAGAAGATAAAATATTACGCTTAATGATTTGTGCGGGACATATATGTGATGTTTTCAACTGTTATTCCATGCCTCATGTCTATTCCGCTGACTTCAGCGAACTAATCATTGCACAACACAAATTCTGTAATTGGAGAGTGAAAGTGAAGAGGAACAAGTAATTGCCATCATTTGCTCCGATGTAACATGTTTCCATTTTAGTTTCAATTTACTGCCGCTGCTTTTGTGTTCATTTACAACTGCCCTCTGACACCCAGCATTCCACGTAAAATTGCATCCATGCAACTGGTTGTTTGTGGAGATTTAGCAGTTTGAAGCAGTACCATGTATTAAGCTTTGAAGATTTTGCAAGGTAACGTCGATCACAATTTGAAAATAAAATCTTTGATTTTAGCGCAAATGAACTAACTGCACTGTGCATCAACAACAATGCAGCAAATCCATAACTCTTCGTACAACTACCGCTCTTTTTTATTCTGTGTCAACGCTCAATCAAATCTGATGCATATAGTACCAAAAAAGAGTTTGACATTTGTTACTAAATTGTCACCTAAAATTGTCATCATCAATCGTCCGATTGTGCAGTCAAGACCAGCAAAGTTGAGACTAAGAACGGCCGAGCAATTTATAAGCAGGCGAGCACAGGGAAAATAGATCGCACATTTTAGACGATCGCTCAAAGAACAGTCGATGCTTTTTCACAGCGTGATTGCGGCGCAGTGGCCGCATTATCGTGGACTTTCCGAAATATGCAAAATTGTTAAGGGCCGCATGGTCCTTTAGGCTGACCAGACCGCGCTGCGTGCGGACATACACGACGTACGCAGCGCACGCCGCGATGCCGCGCAGTCTGGTTCAACCAAGGAACCTGTAGGCAGAGGTGCGATAGTCGGAGCCGAGTCTCCGCCTACCTTCACTTTTGAGCTGGTATGGGGTGACCACCTTCTCTTTTGGGTTTGAAAAATTTTTTTGCTGAAGCTTAAAAGAAGGAAACTAAGCAAAAGGAACGCAAAAAAAGTATTGAGAGCATATATCTATGTAACAAGTCGATCTAAGCAGTAACCGCCGAGAAACAGATTTCGAATGATAAAATAATGTAAATCGTGCAAAATTCCCACTGTTATATATCTGATGGTCAAAGATGTCAGCAAATGCGACTTCATAGGTTTTGAGGGGTAGGTGTTGCTCTACCAGACGGTGAAAAATCAGATCGATTTGAGCAATAGCCGCCGAGAACGAGAATTTTGAAAAATTAAGCGATTTTAGGTTTCTTAGTGACAGCTGACGTTTAGACTCCTATAAATCCGGAATATGAAGGTGTGCAATGTTGCGACTCTATAGGTTTTGTAGAGCAAGGAGTGCTCTATCGGGATTTGTCTCAGCCGTACCGATTTATTGAGATACCGCAGAGATTCAGGCTCTTAAAGACCAGGTAAAAACCGCTTTTCGAAGTTCAGAAGCTCATAACTTCTTCAGAATTGCATGAATCATATTGCGACTTCATAGGTTGGATTCTCCTCTTCAAAGCTTTCAGATCATATATAAAATGTAAGGGGGGGGGGGGTTAATGATTTTTGCGGCTCTAACCCGGCGTGGAGACTTTTCATACCAAAGTCTCCACCTCGCCCATGTTAATGTATTGGCTGGAGGCCGCCAGTGGAGACTGCTGAAAAGTCTCCACCCCCGGGCATATGCCGTGAGAGGAGCGAAACCCCCACATTATGTAAATCATCTGAAAGCTCTTGAAGAGGAGAATACAACATATGAAGTCGCAACATGATTCATGCAAGTCTTAAGATGTTATGAGCTGTTGAGGTTCAAAAAGCTCTTTAATTGCTTTTTCAAGACCCTGGATCTCGGCGCTATTTCAATGGATAGATACGACTAAGATATATTTTAAAAAGGCCCAAGAAGCGATATCCAGCTTCATAAACCCTTAGAGTAGCCCTATCGCTGCAGCGTACCTCACGCGGGTTGCGCCTTAACCTACGTGTAAGAAGTGCGGCCTTTGTTAAGGCCCGCGGCCCGCCGAGTGAGGTGGTTGGGCTGCGAACCTCCCGATAACCTATTCCCAATTTCAACTTTGGCCGCGGCGTTCCCGGAAAAATATACATGGGCCGCGGCGCGCCATATAACACGCTTTGAGGCCGCGAACTTTCCGATGCAATTGTCTGAGTAGGCTCTGAAGAAGGCGACTTGCCGAAACGTCAGCCAATAAACCGTTAACAATTTCGAGTCATGGCTCAGTATCATAAAGCACAATATCAATACCATGCCGAGCTTCATAGTAAGTCGCACATTCCATTAACAAACTGTACGGCATAGCGAAATAATTGCAACTGTTCGTTATCAGAAAAAAAAACATGCGCAGATTTCAAGATAGGGAAACATACAGCAGAGTTCTGTCAGTTTTCAACACCCGCAAATCCCATTGAGAAAGGTAAACATGTATTTCAAGTCAGTATCCGATGCGAAATTTCCTCTTTCTAGCAGGCATGCCCCTATGCAATTCTTCCAAGAGTTCAGAATAACTCGCTTAGACTAACTGTGTCGTAAGTAAAAGGCACAGGCAGCGAAAATTGCGCGTTCAAGAATTGTGAAAGCAGCAAGGTTCTTCTGTACTTCTCCTTCAAGATGTTGCCTTTCAGTAACGAATAAGAGTGAAGGAAACGTATTTACAAGCACAACAGGGTCAAGGCCCTTCAACTTTCAACCTGGATGTTGAGACTGGGTGTTACGCGACATTTTGATTAAAAAATACATCTAGAATATACACTGCTGTATCAAGGCTCAGCAGAAGTGGAGATTGCACGCGCTGGATGTCGTTTTTTGACGGGGAACAAAAGGAAAATTGTAAAACTTTAGTGGGGCGTCTATGGATCTGACGCAAGCACAATTCTTACTCTTAGTAAGCCCGAAAAAGGCATTTACCAGTAACAGGTAAATTGATAGGTTACAAACACGATTAGCATGAAGTTGTGTGCACACGATTCCCAACGTGTTAAGACATGATGTTTACGCACAAAAAGATAAACAATCAGTTTGTTCCAACGACTAAGTAATATTAAGAATACAAATTTGTTTTATAGCTTCGCGACGAAAAGAATAGTATGAAAATTATGGGGATTTTATGTGAACAAAAAGAGTAATGTAAGTGCTTTCTATTTTAGGTTGCTCCCGCGCAAACTGGAAGCGCTCTGAGCTTTTGCAGAACCAAACAAAATTTTCCCCTTCTTCACATAATCTTTCCAAAAATTCTCACATTGAAGGCACCGTTCACCCTATGTTAGAGGTCTTGAACTTTGGCAGTATACGATAGTAGAAGGATCCAATATCAAGCCATGCCCAAGTCGCATTGCAAGATGCCACTTTAACAGGGAGCACTTCGGAATAACGAAGAGGCACGAGGACCGCGCAGCACCGCCCCTCTCAGTGTTGTTCACCCACATCCAGACACCGTTCCAAAGAACCGGGCTGGGCGTTCTCCGGACGGCAATTGTCGGGATTCTCCACTTCATATCCGGACAGGGTCATAAGAAGACCCCAGAACGACCAAAACATGGAATTCGAGCACTTATGGAACGGTGCCTTCAACCTTTAGTCCAAGCTCTACCTATAGGTACTCACTTTGAGCCATCTTTCGATACGCCTGCCTTGCTACGGCCCTTGATTATCATAAACTAGCTGGCTTACCCGGCTCCGCCGTATGTTCCGAATAGAAAATTCCATTTCTTAACCGATCCGGACCAAACTTGGCACACATACCCTTCGGGCCCCGGCGGGTGTCATAGGCTACTTTTCGTCATCGATCGGTATCGATTTTATCGATTTTTTGCAAAGTTTGAGCTATGGGGCTGGGATTTGGCACAGGGGGGTAATCGAGCTTGCTGATCACCCCCACGTGGACGTTAGCGCAAAACGAAAACGCATTGCGACTACTTAACGACACTTTGGACGGAAAAGGCTTTATATTATCGACGCAGAGCGATCCTAATTATCTGTGGGACATCGTTGCTAAATTTGAGTTGAAAGCTTTTCTTTGAAAGTGATTGATATGATGAACGGTACAATTATGACAATAACAGGTGGTAAAATATCTTCTCGCTATTCTGTGAATTACATCTCCCTATTACGTGAGCCCCATTCGATCACTTCGGAAATTTTGTAGCGTATACTCTCTACACAACAATGAGTCATTTTTATATCACCATGACCAATTCATCAGATCCATAGTCAATCAGTTGTAAATACAGCATAAAGAATGCATATGAGGAAAAGATAAAGGTCAAAAAAAGAAACCGCAGCAGAGAGATTGCAGATTATGGAGATGAAATGCAGCAGTATAGGTTCAGCAAGAATTGTAGTATGAAAGCTATGTAAGAAAATGAAGGAAAACAGAACAAAAACTCATAACCGGCATAGTAATTCGAGGGCTTTCTCGTATTTACGTAGTTATCTAAGTAAAGATTTGTAAGCAATTTACAGTACATAATCATCAGTATAGGACCCAGAAGCGTCAATATCACGAATAGGTAAAGGATCCCAAAACAAGGAGAACATCAAGTTAGGTCATGTGACTGTAAGATCGTTCACGGATACCATGAGGAATTGTGAAAAAAAAAAGCGAGACACGTGAAATAAATAGGGAACATAAGGCTCCGAAGAATTAAGCTTGATGAGAGGTTTCGCAACATCGCGAATACAAAACTTGCTGAGAGATTACATTGAGATTATAAAGCGATGCACGGTACAACGGATCGGTAGAAGTAAATTTTTATACCTCGCTATAAACCGATCTCACATTGTTATTCTGTGTTACCCAGTTTTCGTAAGTACGCATCACGCCGCTGATACTCGTCTAGGGCTTTCTCGGTTTGTCTATCCGGAGGAAGTTCCGTTCGCTTTTGGGTGAAACCGACTTCGCGCTGATTGACTTGCTCGACATTCTCCTAGAATCTATCGCCTTGAAAACGAAACAAAAATAGAATAAATTCGCTTCCTTACCCGATTCAGAGTATTTCGCATGATTTCCTCCTTACTCAACTTTATTTCTTCATCTGTGTGAGGTTCAGAAAGAGATAAGGAATCAAGTGAGTTCGTAATTCCATTAACGTCAGAAAAAACGGCTTTAACTTCGCCATACTGAAACTCATTTGATTCACGAAGATATGGGCCATAAATGCTTAATGACTTACATGAGGGTTCTTTCGGGCTGTTTGTTCTATGATCGCCCATTTCCGCTCCTTCTCCTCCTGTCGAGCTTTTTCCATCGAGCGTTCCTTAAACATGTGCATCAGAAGTGCTTATTTCTATCTGACAAGAAAAAAATAATTCGTCATGCTACTCATTGAAACGCTTTTATCTAAGGCATACGCCATACTTGATCCACCTGATCCACTTTGCTATTGGTCAAAATAGGAACTGACCAATAGCAAAGTGGATGAAGTGGATCAAGTGGATATATTTACGCTATTGGTCAGTTCACTATTATGTCCGACAGCAAAGTGAATCAAGTGGATTAAGTATGATGTGTGCCTAAGGAAACTCAAATGAGGCATTGAATTGGTGGCCTTGAAAGTAAGAAACTCAAATGAAGAAAAAAATTACAGTTTAAAATAAAATCAGTCGGAATAAAATACAAAAAGAAACTAGATACAGCTTCCAGATCTGCAGGTTTCTTTGTTGATTTCTCCAGGAAATTTTGAAAAGATCAATATGAAATAATCGAAATTCGAGCTGCACCTTAGCATAGTTTTGCGAACATTCGTCGAATAGCTTCTGATTTATCTCCATCAGCAATTTCAAAGCGTTGTATATCAGTCCATGGATTGTTCTGGAATACATTGATCCATCTAAGTCCGAAAACGAAAATCGCATACTTGTTCCAGTGCGTTTTACTGTTTTTGTAGAGTGCCGGAAACATTATCGGTAGTATTACTGTAGCGTTCTCTCCAATTAGCGACATAACATACTCGTTATTCCAGTAATACAGAGCTCGTTCGGCTACCTGAACGTTTGATTTGCAAAAATTAAACATAACACTGACAAAGCTTGTAAAAAAGGACATTTATGGAGATACCTGGAAATGCGGACTGCTCACACAACGTGCCAGCTGCGTAAACAAAGGCACCATCACTTTTTGGAACTCGACCGGTTCGATCACATCCAAGACTTCTTCGAGCTCGTTTAAGAACATCACCTTAACAGTCAAAAACTAGTATCAAAAAGGAAGTGAATCTGCAAATATCCACCTCCTTCGGGCTATGAATTTTCGGCCAGAACTTGAGTAGTCCTAGAATCACTGGCTCCGTAAGAGATGGGTCCTTTTCAAGGAATTGGACAACACAATATGCTAATTGGGGATGATATGTGGAGAGAGATTTCACCTGAAAAGAACCGCTATGGTACCTCTTAATGAGGCAAATAGAGTCGCAGGACCAAAAAAAACTATCTTGACACTTAAAATTGTAAGACTGCAATGTTTGAAAATAATATAACCGCATAACGTCTGCTTTAAATGTTCACGAAACAAAAGACTCCTTCAAACAAATTGTGTACAAATAAAAACCGCAGAATGCACGAAAAAAGATAAAAGGCTTACCTTATGTAACGGCAGCAAAACTCGAAGTAAAAACGTCCTATGCTCCTCTTTCAGTGGAAGGGCGAAACCATTGATAATACTTCCTGCAACAAAACATTTTTATCAACTCAGCGAAGCCCTCTGAAAAAAATTTTTTGAACAAACTGACCTAAAATCTCTAACAACTCTGCAATGCCATTATGTCGCTCCGTTTCGTAAATGAAACAGTAGAAAATGTTGTTGATCTGCTTTCTAAAATATAGATTTTACAGATTGTTTGAAAATAAAGGAGAAAAGAAAGGGAACTCACCGGATGTATGCTCTCATGCCTAAAAACTTTCCGTATATCCGATGCAAAGTTGTTTTGAGAAAATCTCGTTCTCGAGGATCTTCTGAGTCCATAATCATCAAAAGCTGAAAGAATGAGACTTTGCCACAAAACACGCATGTAATGCCATAATCTTCTAGTACAAGAAAATAATTGAGCAAAAGCATGCCAATAGCAAGCTAAGAAAATATACCTTATTGTTAAGAAGTATCAACAAAGGAGGTAAATAAAAGATATAGCTAGAACGAAAAGACTACAGTGGTCAAGAATTAAAAAAATCTTTACCCTCAACATAAATTGATGGTCGATGTATTTCTTCGCTATACTTGACTGGAAATCTGGCGACTCGAGAAAACGAAGGAAGAACTCGTAAACAAGCTGAAAATGAAGCCATTTACTGAGCTGTAGTAGGTTACGCTCATTTCACCTGTAAGTGTGGCCAAGCTGCCTCAAGCGTTGGTTCATCTTCGTCTGGATCGAACTCAGCACCGACAGGATTCGTCGGAGGCGAAAGCGGCCGAAAGAGGTTCAAGGCAAACTGTAAATCAAAATTTTGAGTCACTGTGAAACTATACAATATTTTTTGCCCTGACAAAATCTCATCTTGGGAATTTTTCAACGCACTGGTTATGCAAATTTGCAGTTTATCCGCAGAAATCGGAAGAGAATAAGCAGTTGAACTTTGATTCCAAAAGGAGGCAAGTTTGCAATTCAAGCGCCGTCAACAACTTTATGCCCTTCCTTACTCCCCCTTTTTATTTACTTGTACCCTACTCGTCCCTCTCTTCTGCGTGTTTTGCAGATCCACTTATCCCCCAATGGTTTCAAAGGGACCGCATGTTGTTTACTACGCGAAGTCGCAGCTCAGTGACTACGAAACCAATCAAGCTATAAAACGCCACGAGCAATAAATAGGAATAACAGATGCTTACCATGTTAACTGCTTCGGGGTAGACATTTTCAGTAATCACTTCTCTACAAGTTGTCACATAATCGATCAGTTCGTTCAGTGCTGCTCTTTTCACCTAAAAGTGCAAAATCAAGTTGAATGCTCATGTATTCTGCTTTACTCAACAGGGACCAACTCTGAAATTCTAGCAGGTAGAAAAAAGTTGGAAATTTGAATATGAGTCTATCTTGACAAGGTCTGAACGGGGAAAGAAAATCTGAAAACAAACCTCTTTGTACTTCATATCACTTAATGGATCCTGCGCAAACTCAAACACCACACAACATTGTCGAATCTTTTGTATAAACAAATCTTCGCGTTCGGATGGATCTGCTTCTGAAAAAGAAGTTAATTAAAAGCTAACAAACAGACTGTCTCCCATTATCTTTTCATCTCATACAGTAGATCGTAAATTTTCTCCTTTCACACATATGTCACACATATGACATATGAGCCGCGTTGCATGAATAACTAATGATGGCTGCGTGCAGATTTATTGAGAACAAATTCCACAGCAAAGATCGTTAACAGATCGTTTGTAATGCTTCAAAACGGAGGAACAAGTATTGCATGCAAGTTATAAATTTCACACAAATGTAAATATTTCCGCACTCTGCACAAGATTGTATTTGGACCATCCTCAAGCTTTGTCGGCGGTAAGTAGAAAACAAAATGCCTCATTAGAAAAAAAATCGCAGAAAAGTTCAGTTTTCTGAAAAGTTCCAAAATATGGCTGTTTATCATAACAACTGCTGGTGACAATAGCCAACATTTGAGCTTAGCCGTCTCGCATATTTCAAAGCTAATTGTCACAGTAGCAGACTCATAAAAAAAGAAACGCGAACATTACACAACTGTGAAAATTGCTTATATGCAATTTAAACACGACAACTGTCGCCTTCCTAACTCCCCCTCTCCTCCCTCACCACCCCATTTCAAAATTCCTTTTGCTAGATGTGCTGTATTTGCTCAATAATACCCCTTTTTTCAAGTTGACAGAAAATAAAGTTATTTGGAATCGTATGCAGTAAAAATAAAACATTCGAAAACCCCTATATTTGAATATGAAACTGTGAAGTTCAGATACTGTTCGATAGGTACAAACTCAATTCTCTTGTACCCTTCCATAAAAGCAATTTCATCTACATCAAGAGCATTATACTGCGTCAAATAGTATGGATCAACCAAAGAAACCCTACTTCACTGCATAAACAATGTGGGAGTCGCTACGATGCGCATATAATTGGAAGATTCAATTACATACTGAAAGAGAAAGGATTTTTTGCGATCTTGTGTTAATAAACAACAAACTCAATGTAAAAACGTACGACCAATACACTCACCTTTTATTGCTGGCAACTTGACGAGCTCTCTGTTGGAAGATACATTGAATAGGCTACTAGACTGCCGACGATCTCGACGAGGTATGACGGGTCCTGAAATATTGCATTACTAGAGGCGCAGACAGATCAAAATTGGTAGCACCATACGAATGCTTTTAGTTTGCAAGACAACATTAGTCTGTGACAATCAGTGAGCACACACTTACTGTTTGGCAAAGATTAACGTACCGAATTCCGATCTTGCGAAGAAAAAACCTGATATGGTCACGTTGGTTGTTTACAATATTGAGAGTAAACAAAAGGAGAAAGAAATTGTTACTCTACACTAATCACCTAAAAGACATTCGCTAAATTTGAAGATAAATTTGTTGCGTAGATGATTGAACGTTACTTTATTTCAAGAGCAACAAGCATCTAAACTGGATTCTTTATCGTGCAAAATCTTGTTCATTGTTTATTGCCATAGATCTATCATGGGTCAGTCAAAAAATGACAGTGCAAACTTTTCTCTTTCGCTCCCACCGGTTTACTTCTTCTTACAACAAAACAACTCTGAATGAGCACAGGAGACTGTAAAATTTCAAGTAAAAAGCATATTCATTTCAGAAAAACATTCCTGCTGATATCCAATGGTATGCATCGCAATGAATTTACCAATAAGTGGAGATAACGGAGGCCACATTTTTGATCAACAAAGGGCAATGTATAGGGCATTTGATAGATCGTGACGATGCCGCGACCGCACGCCACTTCCGGAAACTGCATTTTCTTGGTTTTCATCTCTAGTCGAATGGGTTTTTGCTTACGTATGATAACATTTTGACACTGGAAGTGGCTGAGCTGAACGTGAGGTGAAGCCTTCTTGTATGAGCGTTTTGGGCTCCTATGAACAAAAAGTCCGCAGCAAAATCCGTCGTCACGATTTCATAAATGAACTATACATTTGTAATGATATGTAAACTGCTATAGGGTTTCTACCTCAAAAATTGCTGACTTAAATTAGGCAAAAGTTCTCGCGAGTTTCACAAGATCTAAATAGTCTTTCTCAGGATAGTTTCATAACCTTTCAATCATAGAAGCCAATATTCTAAGAAGAAACTGGTTAAAGATTTTGACAACAATTTCATACCCTTTATAAAGGAGAAAGTCAAGTTCTTTTCACGGTAAATTCTCAAAAAATCGCAAGAGCCATTTCAATACCTTCCGCGCTTGCAGTGTAGGGGGATTCATTCTAGTGACGAGAACCCCATTAGTAACTTGATCACACGCTAGTTACTTCAGAGATCTTGCGCTTCTGCTTGAGCCCACTAATGTCGGCTCATCGCGAGTGAAAACGAATCAAGACACATGGCTTAGTAATCCAGTAAATTGAACAACTCGAAAAGGGATCTCAAATTTCAAATCATAATCAGTTTTCAGGGTAAAAACACGCTTAGAATTCAAATAAAAACAAAAAAAAATAAAGAAGAACTGTAGAGCACTTAAAAACTTACCTCCACCATACTGGGTTTTCTTGAGCAGAGTCGGCGGTGGCGCATCTGGCGGCGGAGGTGCATTATGGTCGTTTACTTAAAAATACAAGTTTTCAAGGTGAAATATTAGTATGGGAGAGCTATTCTACCACTTGTGTCTTCAGTGCGTATCGTCGGAATCTCTTTCTGCTCCTTCTGTTCTTTCTGTTCCTTTTGTTCTTTCTCCTCCTTTTTCTTCTCTTTCTTCAAATCTTTTTCCTTTTCTTTATCTTTTTCCGCCTATACTTGACATATGAAGAGCTACAGTTTAGCTGGGAATGAACCTTTACCTTCTCTTTTCCATCTTTATCCTTCTTCTTGCCCTTGAGCATTGTCGACGAAGCGACGACCTTAACACGTAAAGGTGCTCCAATACTAGCTATTTTAGTTTGATGGTTAGTCAGTTATCAATAATAAGTGTGATTACGTGGCTCTTAAAACATAATGCAAAGAAAAAAAAGCGTCATGTAGTACAGAAAAAGCAAGACGTTGAAGTCAGCTATTAAGAGGTCAAAGAGGTCACAACTGATTCCAGATAAGTCAATTAGGAAACTACAATGGTGAATGAGTTTCTTACACAGGCTCATTGCATATGCAGAATAGCGTTCTAGAATTCAAGGTGACATGCAAAGTCAGGAGTGAAAGGTACCCCCAGACGTAAAATGCGATTTAGAGATGCTTCTAGGGCAAACTTGGAAGAAGGAATAATTGTTTTGAAGATGCAAATTCGGAAGTGCGAAATAACAACTCAAACAAATTATTGGGAAAAAATTTTAGAACCAAATTCCATTAGTTGGATAACATCAAGCTCAGCTACTGAACAAGAAGGGCACAAAGAGTCATTATTAGAATGCCGCCAGCTACAGAAACGATTCTAGCAACCAAGAACTTTCTACATCGCAAGAATGTGTAGCACCACTTTTTATCACGGTAGAGGTGAAGAACATAGGGAGGAATGGCATGCTCAAAAATAGAACAAATTTTTCATGAAACGTACTAACTACACAATAGTCACAGAAAGCTAAATGTATTTCCTCAGTCGCGTATGAATAAGGTGAGGATACTTGGAATGTTGTCTTATAGAGCATGGAATGTTGTTTTCAAATCTGTTTCCATTATCTGCAAAGCGCTTCTAAGCGAGGAGTTATGGGAATTTTTTGATGCAAAAACTTAAACGCGCCGCTACAATAAATTCCATTCGAAACTGTAATCTGTGAGCTCAAATTACGTCATGATAACTTGAAGATTGCTTATGCAATGACTAGTTTCTGTTAATGAACTCATGTCAGTTATCATTCCTTTCAAGTGCAGAAAAGACCTCAACACCTGTTCGTTAGTCAAACCCTTGATTTTTACCTTAAAAATTCCCAGAACTCCCCGCCTAGAAGCGCTTTGCAGATAGCGGAAGCAGATTTGAAAACAGGGTTCCATGCTCTATGTGATAGTATACATCTCATATAGAAACGCCACTTCGACCTAGTATCCTTCCTTTGTAAGAAATCCATTTAGCATTCTGTGACGTTTATAATGAACATGTGCTTTCTCGCACCTAAGATACATGCAGAATCTGGATCCAAGGATTCACACGTCATTGACATCAAACGGCAAACATGGCATGTAAGCCCAGATAAGCAAGAGAGCACAAAATCACGTTCGGCATTCGAGGCCTATAATTTGGGATAGAAGACGCGCCAAAATTAAAGGCTTAACTTGTCAGCACTCCACGGAAAATCAATGCAAGATATGGACGTAAGTTCATACCAAAGACTGTTTTGGTCGTATCCAATAGAAGATATTTTTTAGATATCGAAAAGTCCCCTACACAAGAATGTATGGTTCAAAAGAGTAGATCAGTGGTAATGAAGAAGGAAATGAGGAAATTCTTGACCTTCACAAGTTGCTCTATAACAGAATAAACTCACACCATTTCTTGATTAACCCCTCATAAACTATGCTTCGTACTACACATAGTGTTAGTGGTGGAAAGTATAGTTAGCACCGAATATTCGTGTTCGAATAATTTATTCGAAATATTCGACTATTCGAATATTCGAATAGTCGAATATTTGAGAAAGTCCATTTATTCGATTATTCGAATAGTCGAATAAATGAAAAAGACCTATATTCGAATAATTCGTTCATTCGACGATTTCGAAAAATGACTTATTCGAATATTCGTTCATTCGAGGAGTTTTGAAAAAAGGTTATTCGAATATTCGTTCATTCGAGTAGTTTTAAAAGATAGTTCTTCGAATATTCGAATATTGCATTCAAATACTCGAATAATATTCGAACATTTTTTTGAAATTAGTCGAATATTCGATCAAGTTCGGTTATTCAAGTATTCGTTCATTCGATTTTTGGAATGAGCCAATATTCGAATATTCAAATTCGAATAAAATGAAAGACGAAATTCGAATAATATTCGTTCATTCGAAGAATTTTCGAAAATCAAATATTCGATATTCATTCGTTCGAAAAATTTTCGAAAATCAATCACTCAATATTCATTCATTCGAAAAAATTTTAAAAAATGATTATTCGATATTCGTTCATTAGGCGAAAATTTCTGTTCGTTACAACTATAGTGGAAAGTCGTTCTAACGTGAAATATAACATACTATGCAAAAAGTACAAAAATGTGCAGCGAGTTCGTGGTCTGAATCAGTTCTGAGAGTTACTTTTGAAGAAAATTTCCTTAGTGTAAAAGGTTTTTTATACTATGTCACAGATGGAACGTCTATGATTGTGACCGAATCAAGCAAATATTTCTGAAACTGAATGTGACATTTCCTGCTTCCAGTCGCGCTTTGAGAGCAAAATTACGACCTGGCCCTTCCAGCAAGAGAATTGCGATAAACTCAGCTCCTATGTTTTTTGTTCACTGCTTTGCTTTGTTGCTTTTTGGTACACCTTGTGTTTATTATATTAATAAATAGATGAATTACTTTTCCATTATGTTGCCGTGCTGGTATGTTATCGAAAAGACTGATAAATCCGAACTTAATAAATTTTTGAGTTCCTACTCGATTGTTAGAGGGAGATATTAGCTTTGTATCGCGCAATTTTGAGCGAAGAAAAAAGTTTTCTTGAAAAAAAGGTATTTGAGTTCGTAATGTGCTCGCGTACGCAGTGCATTTCCGCTAGCAAGAGAATTTGAATTTTTTTGATAGAAAATAAGCCAGTTAAGGCTCAACATTTACATTACGATGGTAAGAGTTGCTGGATACAGCTCGTGTTGAATTTTTCGTAAAGCTGGTCTTGAATTCTTTTCTTTTTTCTCCCAAAAACCAGCGCAAACAATTTTAGCGCACCCCGTTGAATTTCCGTACTTTTAATCGGAAGATAAGCCGCAGTTGCTGGCATTCAATAGACACGTACATAATCTTTGACTAATCTGATGGGAAGAATGTAATCTCATTATTTCTGGAGACCAAAAATTTGCTGCCACTAATAACAAGACCTGCATGCAGTCCACATAAAAACAAAACTCATTGATTTGGCGAGATTAATTACGCGAGATTGCAGACGCTTGAGATGTGCACTTCAGCAGTAGAGCATGTGCATAGCTGACAGATATCGTGACGAGCGCGTCAAATTTGCGGTAACGCATCCATCATGCGTTTTCGCACCTCTACTGCAGCTAAGTGAACTTAAGCAGAAGAAAACTGCAAAATCTAAACGCGGAGTCTCATGGGCTCTCCTTCTCATGAAAAAATTAGCATAAACAAACAGGTTGCTTTTGATAACAGCAAAAAAAGGAGAAAATCTAGAGTGATCTATGAAGCGAAAGAAATGGTAGATAAATAAAGCTAAATGGTCAACGAAACTCATAAATTTCAGCGATTAGTGACATCTGGGACATAATGAATCTCAAAGGCTTTCATGAAATGAACATCTGTTACAGAAAAATCCATCAATGCAATTTCTGCTTTCCGACAGCTTTCAAAAGAATAGGACCCAATTCAGCACATGTGAAAGAGGAGGCATCTAATTTAATTAAACACACATGCAAAACAATGAGTAAATAGCGTTCATTCCCAATCGATAGCAGGATATCTCTTCACGCACAAGCAGCCAAGTCATGATTACGCCAAGACAAACACGATAATGGGTTTTCGAGACATTTGCACACAATCCACTCTCAAGAAGACATCATAGCTAAAGAAAAAGCAGGATTACAAAACACAAAAGAAGCAGCTAGGTAAACAATGGGAATTGCTAATGAATTCTGCAATGCTTGAGAAAAAAAACAATGCAAAAAGCAAGTTGCTTTCAATGCGATAATGTACTCGAATAAAAATTGTTCTTTGAATTCCATAAAAACTAAGCGATAGTGGCCGAAAGATAACGTCTGAAAGAGCAAAAGTCACACTTTTTCTCATTCCTTAGACCGGAACTTTCTACACTATAGCTTTTTAAAACGGAAACTGCATTAGTTGCCAAAACAAAAAAATCTTTAGTAGTCCTGAATGGACTCGAGAAAAATTTGCCGCAAAAATCGATGGCTCGCATATCCTTTGCACTTCAGCGGTCAACCACTATAGAACAACTCAGATATGACAAAAACGATTACTTGGGGACATAACGGCAACGGACAGCATTCACTATAGTCCATATTTACATCAATGTTAGGGAACAGCCGGAATATTCAAAAGATTTTTGTGTTTTCAGGTTCCAAAAACGGATTATGTTGATGAGTTCGTAACGAAATCCAGCAATCATCTTGAGCAAAGAAAAAAACGATTAACCTTACATAAAAAAGCATTTACTATAAAGTTAGTGAAGATAAAAAATGCAAACGAGAACAGGTGACAGTAGCAGAAAACGACCGTAGAAAAACTTTGCGGTGATCCTATTTCTATTGAAGTTTTTCAGAGATTTGAGAGGTCCGCTTAAAAAAAAGATGACCCACTAAGGTTACCGTAGCCAAGATTTTGAACTTTTCGATCTGTTACAGCAGCTCATATCCTGCAATAAATTGCAACTACTTCAAAGTCTCAGTCTCTTTTACTGATGCCGAAATGTGGGAGAAAATGAGCTGCTGTAACAGATTAGAAAAGAAAGACGTAGCATGGTCATTCCACACCTCTTGGACAAGTGAATAATGGATATGTGTGCAGCAGCAATGTCCGAAGAACAAACAAGAAGCTGCAAACAGAAAGCAAAAAGTAGGCAAGCAATGCAAAATGCAAATAATGATAATTATGAAGGATTCGAGATAAAATTTGCGAAGGGGAATGCTGTAAAAAGCTATAGTATTTAAAAAACCTACTTTGTTCCGAAGGGTAGATGTAGCACCTGCAAACAGATTGGCGATTTATGGAGATATTTGAATATCTGCAAAACGTAAGCGATTAGAGCACATAAAGTATAGTCACAGCGTCGAAATCGCAGCGAATCAACGGCGAGAAATGTGTGCTTACAGCGATGGATCAGCGGTTTTGTCACAGTAAAATGTATTACAACCAAGAAAAGAAGAAAAGTGGGGGAGAAAACGAGTTCATAGGGCCTCTCTCACTCTCATCACACCCGCCTCACACCCTACCACCCTCTCACTCAACTGTTGCGAAGGGGGAGAAACACAGAGAGAGAAAATGTGTGTGTGTGGCGAGTGCCGGTATCGATTCACCAGTGTCCAAGGGTTTCGTCCGGCCAAATGCTAGGGATTCGCGCGCTCACTGGCTATCGTTCACTTTCACGAGAGAAGATTCACATCCAGCAGAAGATATCGATTTGTAAAAGACTCGATTTTATCCCAGAACAACTATTAATTCTCTGCTAAACAGATTGCTGAACGCAGTAATGTGGGATGAGTAGCCACAGCCACACATGAAGGATGAGGAAGCTTCCAGTGTCGTGAAGATTTGTATGACAAGGATTTTTCACTCAGTTGTAGGTGAGAGGGAGGGTTTGAGGTTTGCACGTGACGTAGTCATAATGTCGACACCTCTCGGATTCACATTCTTCACAAAGTTGTTTTCGCCGAAACTCCCTGGAGCACTTAATCATCGCGCTTAGTGTCATCGCTGGACCGCGGACCGATTAATTATGTCTAGGACAATGATCTACCTAATCACTGGTGCTTCTTTGTGGTCACAAGACTGAAGTTTATCCAGAAAAAAAATCTGAATACTTTGACGCTATTCTACACTTTCTGAGTCGCACATGCTGTGGTCACTCAAAGAGGTTTTTCAGTTGATGTGTGCAATCACACAAGTAGATAACAAGATGTTGACGAAACTCTGTTCTCAGGTGAATAATTTACGAACTCGAATTATTCACGCAAACTCAAACTTAAACCCCATTTGTGTCCAAGCAATGGGGAAAATAAAGAAAAAAAAAACACAAGGAAGACTACTCAAACCTCATGTCCGACCCTCATCACGAAATGCAATTCCCACTAGCAAAGAAACTACTCGACCATAACAATAGTGAAAAGTTCCAGACAGTAGACGTAATATGACTTGGAAAACGAATGGCGGAGAAGCAAAGAGAAAGAAAGAAAGAAAGAAAGAAAGAAAAGATAAGAAGAAAGAGAGAAAGAAAAGATGGCTGTACGAATTTTATAAATCTAAAACAAATTAATTCCCAGTATTTGCAAAAAATTCGAAAAGAAACGCCAAAACCACCAAATAAAACCTGGATTCGCGCGCAGTTTTGCTGTCGCTGTGCAATTGCACATGTTGTCGCTAAAAATCTCAGCCAAGAAATCAAAAAAATCAATATGGGGAAAGCAAATCTGGCTTACTGTGTACATAGTTGCATTCTGTCGACGTGAGACTACTGGCTAGAATTTGCTAGGAATTCCTCACTAACCTGAACCAATGTTCGAGCGCAGATGGAAAGCAGCTAGAAGATGCAACTTTCTCTCAAAAGGACGGGAAATTTTTGGGAAGATTCAGCTCCTCTCAAATAGTCATCCATTCATGGATCAAGAGACTAGAATGTGCCCTCATGCATTACAGAGAAGTTTGAGCAAGTCTTTGTTTCTATAGATGCACTAAAATATTCTGAGGTGAGGCACGAGTTTTGACCTTCTGATGAGACATAATCTGGGAATGTGGCATTTCTCCACGTTTAGAGTTCAAGAACTTCATAAATATCTCATATCTGTGGAAAGAAGTAATTTCCATAGAAACTACTGGATGTCATGCCATTTCTTTTTCTTTTGACACGGAAAAGCAGTAATTTACTGTCGCTTTGCTATGCCCTGTATTGCTCCCGTGTCGGCGCCGTGCTAGCGCCGTGCCAGCACGCATGCAGACGCTTCCTGTGGTGCATGCCGACGACGCTGGCACGGCTCTTGGACGGCGCTAGTACGAGCAACTCTAGACGCATCCTGATCGCTATGTGGAGATAAGCCACCGCCTACGGGAAACCAAATTTCTTACATCAAAGTCATTTTGAGTTGATACAAAGACGATTTTGTGAAATGTGTCAATCCACTATATCCGGAGCAGACTCTTAGAGTAAATTTGCGTGGTGAGGTCAATAATACCGCTCGTTTCAGGGGTGTGCACAAAAACGCTCATCAATAAGCTCAATTTTTACCTAATGACTTTTGCGTGTTTCAAATGTCCAAAATTATTAGATAGGTCGTAATAATTAACTATAATAGGTCGTTACGTAAGTTTTTTACACTGTCTTCGTCTTCCGTTGGAAAACTCTAGAAAATTCGGCGTAGTCTCATTTTTGGCAATATATGGAAAGGAATGAAGGGCTACCTTTGGCATCACTTTTGTCCTCGGAATGAGTTACAGTAAAGATGAAGGCAATCACAGCACTTACCCCAATTTTTTTCATTCATAAATGCTACTCATTTGCATCGATTATAAAACGGAAGGAGGTCCGGAAGCTCAAGTTATTCATTAGCACACTCAAAAAACGCCACAATAATACGGAAGGTTTCCATGAAAAATGCGTAAAATGATATTTGTTTTGTCTGTTATGTTTATATTGAAATTCGACATGTTTGGAAATGTGGAAAATCCTGTGGGGAAGTTATGAGGATTTCTTCCGTCAAATGTAACAAAAACATACTAATTTAACATAAGATTGGCAAAAAATAGTTTCGTTTTGGAGACTCTACAACACTCTGTATAATTGTTATTTAGCAGAAATTTCTTTACGGTAGGCAGTTTCAAGCCTCTACTATTACATAACAATCATTTAAAACTTTCCACCTGTAATAAAATAATATTACTATTACGTTAATAACGTAATATTACGTTCTTATTCCAAATTTCGTTTTCCGGGTGAGTGCACAGCTGAAATCTGATAATTATTACAGACAAGCTTTGATTACTTGGCGAACTAGAGAACATTATGATCTGCATGAATTTTTTTCGTTTAAAATCTGGGAATTAGACACCTGTGTGCGGAAATCAACTTTCGGGCAGTACAGATCGATTAAATTTCAACATCTCACCATGTAAATGATCAAAAAATACCAAAATCAAGTGTGTAGGTATTGAACCTTCATTACACTTAACTCCAAATCATTCTCAAGCATGAATATTTGCGAAATCGATGAAATCTGGGTTTTGCGCTCGTACACCATTTTGTCGTAGAAAAATTTGCTTAAACGAACTTGATAAATGAATTTTCCTTGAGTTACTATATTTGTAATACCATAAATTCATAGAAAAATTTGTTTGTAATATTTCTGCAAATCGTACAAAACTACCAGGATTATCTGAAGCGCCTGTTATCGGTGTCTAATCTACAAAATAGGCTTCGAAAGGAGAAAAAACGTGCTTGGCGGAATCGGCTTACTGTAATGTTCACAAAATATGGTTCAATTCTGAGTGTTCTAAACCGTTTGCAGATCATAAGGAGATAAAAGGCATACAGAAAACAAGACTTTCAAGAGACGAGACATTCTTTGGTGCTACAAATCTCGTCAAGCGGGCACCACAGTAAATATTCATATTCTACCTGTGTAGAGGAGGCAGAGCAACTATTATGAGCTTTTACACAACCGACAGATTATGAGCTCATCGGGAAGTAACATAACGAAAGTTACATAACATTTATGTGATTATGAACACGCTGAGCAGAAACTGGGATGTAATAATTAAGTAGACAATCTCCTTGTGTTATGCATAGGCATAAACAACTTCGACGTAATGCGTCAGGATGTCACACATATTTGTAGCTATATAAAGTGCCGGATATAAATATTGTGTCCCCTTCAGATAGAAGAAAAACTTACCACAATGTCATGAATTTACAAAAAATTCTCGAAAACGATTAAATAAACTGTAATGTTGAAAAATATGGAAGAATTCACTTAGAAGCAATTAAATCCGCCTCTTTTTGTAAATGACATCTCCTGCAGATGAAAAGATTCGTGAGAGCTCGTCCGGATCGATCCATCCGAAAGAGGAAGGAGTGGGGCTTCTGCTCTTATTCATCACACTGAATTTATTTATAGAAGTCTATTGATTATGCTAAACAGAACGGCTTTTCGCTTTACATCCAATAAGGTTGACTCACTTCACTTCGAAAGGACAGCCCTACATTCTTATTCATATTTAGATACAAAGAAGATTAATATCTGATCTTTGATCCACTAAAAATAAATGAATTTTTACTTTAAAGTTAAAGAAATCTATCGACTAGGGGGAGGGGAGTGGAATAGCTGCAATGTATAAAAGATGCATTTGATGAAATTAGATCAGTTCGAAGAGATAAACCCTGTAGTTTTTTCTCACCTACATATAAAAGTTGATCTTTGATCTTTGCCCTGGATACATTTGGGTTTTTATTTTAGTCTATTTAAAGAAGTTTTTTGACCATGGGAGGGAGGAAGAGGGGAGAGTGGAACAGCTGTAGTGCAAAACAAGCACACAACTTCAGCTTCAAATAACAACTCGTAAATTTATTCACGTTTGGATTCAAAAAGCATGATGTCTGATTTTCAGTTTTCTTCAGACCTTGGACTTTTCTATTTTCAACTCACTTATTAGACCTCCTTCTCCAAAGCTTGCACGAAAGAGACGCTAATAAACACTTGTCAATCACGAAACTTGTTCCATCCATAACCCTGGATGTTTTTTTTGCTCGATAGAAAATTTGGAAAAAGATGGTCGAATGCGAGGTAGAGATGAGATTTCACGTGAGATTGAACAAGAGCATGCGACTGATTGACAAGCCGTGTTTCTGACATATTCAACGTATGTTTTATCAGGCAGCTGTCAATGATCTTACTTGTTCTTTTTGCGAGCAAAGCATCGAGTTAGCATCTGGCTCACCTCGGGATGCTGAGGTGGACAGCGCGAGCTTTGATCTGTTATTTTTTCTCCGTTGATTAGTCAGAGGTGTTCTTAGCCATTGCATTGCACAGATCTTCCATCCAAACTAGAGATACGGATCAAAATGGCTGTGATTGTGAAAACGCTTTTTCTTCACAAAGTGCGTACATATCCTCACAAGGAGCTCTAATTATATGTAGTCGTATATTGTCTTGTTATGAGATCCTCCCAAAAGAGAATCTTTTTTGATAGCATCCATGTCCCGTTTTCATGAAACCTTGGCATTTGTCGTATGTAGCGTTTCCCCCAACCGTATTCAAACTTCCATTGTGCCGGAAAAATTTGAGAAGTGGTCTTTATTTCTTTTCAATCACGACCTTCTCTGACGCTTTTCTTCTTCCTCAGAGGCCTGAAGTTCTAAGTGTTATAAGTAACCTCCAGACCACCGAGCGTTTCCTCCAACTCTGTCAGTTTTCGGCCTTCTCACAATCTCACTACCAAAAAAAGGTCAGTGTAGCAATACATACCAAAAGATCACCGCTACTCGAGTAGTTTGCACCGGAAATAAGCAGTCGAGGAGACGAGTGAATCATACTATAGATATATGAAGATGATTCACAGTTGTACATCACATAACGATACGAACGGAGGAAGTCAGAAGTTATTGATAAACACTCGTCCTCATAGTCCATTTTTGGATTTTTGTTTGTGATTCAGAATGCTTCCGATGCTTTCCTAGAAGAGACCTCTGTTTCATACGCAAGAATTCTACAATTCATATCGGAGTCTTTTCCACTCCGAATGTCCTATGCTTTACATTTTTGCGTCTGTTATGAGCATGTCCTTTGATGCGATTACCCAGAACTCTACCCGTCTCTCCTATATACAACGCTGCAATTGAGGCAGTCAGTTTGATAAAGGACTTCCGTTTTTGCACAGTCCCCACTCTACCGGGGGGGGGGGGGGGGGTGCATTGCTATGCATTGCTCTGCAGCACAATTTCGGTAGTAGAGCCGATTACGGACCAGCTGCGTTTTGATGTTGTCGTTAGGGATGTTGCCTAGAACAGCATCATTTTGTAGCTGAGCTCGAAAAAATGCTTTTTGAAACTTCGTTCTCAGATACGCTAAAAGATGTGTTGCCAGCTCTTGCTCGTCGTTTGCCGAAGAATCGTATCTCTTAATGTGCCCGGCCTCTTATGACTGCATGCGACGCCCACGCTAGTGCTTAAAACTAGAACTCTTGCAGGGTTGACAAAATTTTCTATGTGTTGCGCTTTCATAAAACATACGAACAGCCGTATATTATGACAAATGCAACAATCACTTGTACCGCGTAAGCTCTTATTACGTTTTCTTAGCTACATGCATCTGAGCCGAAGTGGACACTGCAAAAGAAAAGTTGCTATAACGAAGAGGTACTAAATTGTAATTGCGACAGCTTTTAAAACATCAGACAAAGTGGATATGAAGAGATTTCAATGCGATACAGTAGTACGGTTTTACTTTCGCAACTGCACATGCTTGCTGCCAAAATTTTCACAGAAAAAAAAGCTCTGGTGAAGCAACAATGGCATCTAAACGAGCATGAGGGGCTGGGGTCGGTGATTTCAGTTGAGTAAGTTTTGAAAGAACTGCGAAATACGAATTTCCGTAAAAGGGCATTCTATATGAGAAGCTGTTAGGTGATTTCTTCACTGTCTGTATACCTAAGGGTGTGGACTAGTTAAATATGGGGAAGCCTAAGTGACAGCATCATCAAAACCGTCCGTTTGTTTTTTAGATGGTCTGTAACGCTGAACTCAGAACTAACAAGAGAAGCCACCTAACTTAGCTTAAACTTTTGGCAAGGGACGTATATAATCTAAATCAGCTTCAAACGCTGATTCCAAATATGTTATTTCCAGCTGCCGAGCATCATTCTGAAACGAATTTTATGTACTTTTTTCTGCGCGAAATATTTATCGACTCACTGGCATAACGGCATCATCACCTAATTGCTAATAGCTTCGTTAAACTTCTTAGGGAATTGGATTTGTTTTATTTCGATATCTCAGCACCTTTTTCTTGCGTATTTTTATCTACAGGCAGTCTTCCCATGTTCAATAGTATGCCCATTTTGCGCAGGAAAAAGTAAACTCGCTTCGGAATGGGGCACGGCAGCTAGGAGTAGCATATTTGGAATCAGCGTTTGAAGCTGATTCAGAAAATACATGTCACTCGCTAAAAGGCCGAGCTAAGTTGTGTAGCTTTCCTCATAAGTTCAAAAGCACTCAAAATGTCAAAAGCTTGATGAAGCGCAGCAGTCTTGCGCTTCATCGTATTCTCTACGCAGATAATCTACCGCTCTCAAAGGCAGCGACTCGGCAAGATGATAAGTACCGAGCTTAGAGTGTTGCGATCGTGACCCTCCAGCTAAGTTACAGCAAACTCTGGAGCTTTATAGCGCTTCTGAAAGGCCAATCCTCTCCAGCTGTCTTCCGGACCCCGCGCACTTCCAACTCCGCTCACTTCTTCCACATAATTTAGGGCAAACCACGAAGAGCTTCGAAAAAAGTCATTTCTGCCATTATTGAGCGCTGAAGATCTCGGATATCGTTTTAGCATGGCGAGAAGGCTCCAAAGAGATGAAAAAAGGAGAGCGAAATTTTCGCAATATCCTTACCACCTTTTCCGTTGTCACCATTCTGTACTGCTTTCGGGGGCAGCTCAATTTTCGGCTTAAATTTCGTTATGAACTGTTGAAGCTGGCAGAATAGACCATACTTTAATGAGGTTGGTTGCTCATGCTGCAATTCTTACTAACGACAAACCTAAATGTTCCCACGCAATCATTCTTTTGGTCACTCAAACGTGATAATATTTATTTAGGAATTTCTCGTTCTCCATATCAGACATGGTTTATGTCAATAACGTATACAATTTGGATTTGCGACAATTCTTTTTCGCATTTTTGAATTTCAGATATGTTCTTACCGGGTTATATGAACACTTTATTTGGTCAGCTACAGCGATCTCTCAATCGAGTCAGTAACCTGTCAAAGCGGCCAAGTCGCGAGTTCTAAACTCTGTTGATGATGGCTAGCGGAAGCCTGGTAAAATTTGACAGTTATGGTGATAGATTTTAGGCTTTGAGTGATTACTAGTTAATTTAGCACTTAATTTAATCAATACGTTCTAGCCGTTTTGTATAAATTCCGGATTGTGGCGGGAACAAGGAAATATCTGCAAATTAACCATTGTTTTCCGCATTTTTTGATCAGGTATTTTACCATAATGGAAACAGTACTTCCGGGACATCTGGTATAAACACTATAGAGTTCTAAGGACTCTTCGACATGTCCTAGATAGCGTGTCGTTGTTGTGAGGAAGCCATGTAAAACGATGTAATTGTGAGTGAGTTACCAGACACTAGCAATTGTTTGGAGGACATGCGGAAAGCGGAAGGCCGTTGCTGTTTTGGAAACGACAGTGAGACGCTAGGACACTCTTAAGGTTGTTTCATACTGCAGTCGCTGCAGCAATGGCAGTCAATCGATCGATATCTTTTGCCCCTCTACTCAGACAATCAAATGCTCTCAGCCGGCAGCCACAAAGCCACCGCCTAGACCCACCAAAAGCGCGGTGGCCTCATCGCCTCACTGTCGCTTCCCGCTGAGAGCTTTGTCGGAGTTTTGTCGGAGCTTGTCGGAGCGGGCTCAGCGGGCAGCGAGCCCGCTCCGACAAGCTCCGACAAAGCTCCAACAAAGCTCTCAGCGGGAAGCGACAGTGGCTGCGATAAGGCAACGACGCTTTTGGTGGGGCCCGCTGAGAGCCTGTAATTGTCTGAGTATATGACTGCACCCTAAGGGTTGTTTCAGTCAGCCGCAGCAGATTGCAGCAGGCTGCAGCTGACCGCACTGACCGCACTGACCACAACTGACTGCAGCAGGCTGCAGCTGACCGCATTTCGTGTATATAGGTGGAGAGGATAAATAGTTGTAGGTCAAACAGTCTCTTAGCAATATATGCTACAATAGAAAACACGAGCTGGAGTAAAATAGATATATGCAATGACAAAAAGAATCAGAACAAATATGAGCATATCAAAGAAAAACAAACGCCAAAATTCGATTGAGAAGAGTGAGTTAGAACCTATGAACTTTCTAGGCGCAAATAACGGTGCTTTGATGTATTCGCAACTGTTTTCTTTTTTACGAAAGGATGCAGCTATTGTGATAACGTGGCGCTCAGGTCAGCTGCAGCCTGCTGCAGTCTGCTGCGGTCAGTGCAATCAGCTGCAGTCTGCTGCGGTCAGTGCAGTCAGCTGCAGTCTGCTGCAGTCAGTGCGGCAGTATGAAACGATGGCTGATCATGAGACATATTTGACCTGATGAGGTAAATAATTTCAACTTTGCCGCGAGGGTACTGTTTTTCCTGCTACCACCATTTGATATTTGTGCGTTTACTGCGGGACTGGCGCCATATTATGGTCGCTGGCGAAATTACGGAGCTATAGCCAAATAACAGAGCTGCATAAAAAATAAATAGACAGTACATGCAGTCTGCCCCAATCGGGATCAGGCCGAACCGCCGACTGAATTTGTGCGCTCGCAACGCTAGGGGTCTGCGTTGCATACGCGCGCTGTCGCAAAGAGCGAAGAGATTGAGGAGAGAGCAGACTAGCTAGCCGTAGACGCGACGCAATACTCTCGCGACAGGGTTCCCGCCATGCCAATCTCGGCCTGGTTGGGATTGGGGCAGACTGTACGGTCTTCTTATGGAGGAAAATGTTCAATGATGTGATGAGTGTCTTTTCAGTCTCTGGAAACAGATTACTCCCTATAACCATCAACTAAAGGGGGTTGCTCTAAATACCTGACCACATATCTTTCTGACTCCATCTTGGTCTGATTGAAAATTGAAAATTCCCATGGCAATTACAATGGTACGTTTCGGGTTTGAGGGTCTAATCTGGTCGTAGAAATCAGATGATGTAGAAATCAGGGAATTCTTTTTATTTCTAGATGCTGGAGCAAAATGCATGCCCTGCCGGCAGTACCACGATCTGTTTGGGGAGAAATCAAGAAGCCGCGATCTCGACCATGAAGCTCACCACCTCGCATTTGGGTCACAACCATAGTTGCGATGGGGAAAGCAATGCAAAAAATCTTTTCTTTCTTTTTCTGAAGATGGTAGTTACATGTTTCTAGATCGACCAACTGTACGAAAACACAAAAAAATTGAAATCTTTGGAACATACTGTCTATGCTTTAGGAATGAACACAGTGACTTTAATCGGAGTTTCTTCAATAAAATGCGCTTTCGCCTGCCAGCATTTGTTCATAATAAGTTGTTAGCCCTTTGACCCATACTAGATATCGTTAAGACAAAATGTTGATTGAGATGGTATTATAAGACGATCGTTTACTTGCCTTATTATTTTAGTTTTTTTTTAACTTTAAAGGCAGTGTCCCGGCAGATTTTGCACCTCCACCTTTTTGCATGTTTTAGGCCTTTACGCCATGTAGAATCCGAAATGGAGCTTTGAACGGGCTGAAAAGGTCGATTTTGGGGCGTTTTCCTAACTGCAGAAAATGTGCTGAGGCCGGATTTGATCCCCGGCCTCAGCACCCCCTGCCAATCAATTCGCGCGCCAAAACCCAAGTATTTTAGGCGGCGCACAGTGATCGACTTTGGATCTTCTCAATCGACCATTTCTTCGTCGACCGTGGACTCATACTTTGCTGTCTCCTTATATTGCATAACTCCGAAGTATACTGGTACATATACTCTTTGTTCTCATGATTTACATTCACACTTGCACATATTTTTTGGTTCATTGGTTCCAGTTTATCATTTGCAACTATTTACTGTTTCCATAGTACTCAATAGTGTTCATGTGTTATTTGTTGTGTTCATTTGCTAATTTTCCTCGTGCACTCAGGTCTTTGTGCCTCATTCTCAACGTGAAGTGGTGCTTATCCGTTTACCGGTGTTCATCATGATACTCAAAGTTCGATTAAAGTTGCATTACGCCTCGTATTTTTGTTTCGCATGTTTGCTGTTGTTGAATTAATGGTAAATAAAGGGTTTAATTACCCAAGTTTGAGGTGTGTGTCCACGGCGGTGGCTATCCGCGACTACTTCAAGCCGATCTGTTATTCCTAGTTCTGTTATTCGTTCACAATTCATTCAGCGTTTTCGCCCCAAGCTCAGAAAGACCCGCGTGGCAACGAAGCTCTCAAACATCCGAAGCCCCAGTTCTACGCAGCCGGTGAAAGGTGGGATTTCAGTAATCCTTTCACTTTCCTTTCTCTTCTTTCCGAGTTTTTTGGTCAATTTTGAGTACGGGGTCCCCCTCGCTCCCCTTTAGTACCCGGGACCCAACTCAAAATTTTCTGGTGCATCGGCCATTCACGAAGCCCAGGCCGAACGAAATCGATAGGAGTAAACGAAGACGCCTCGAATAAACGAAGAAAGGATGGGGCCATCGTTAAAGCCGCACAAAACAAGGATTACGAAGTTGGGGAACACACTGGAGGAGCTGATAGAAAGCTCCCAACATATGGTAACTTTCGAAATCCCCATCACGGAGAACGAAGAAGAGTCAATGGATCTCCTACGAACTAGGATAAAATCGATACAACACCGCCACACCAACATCGTCACAACCAAAGCAGCACTAGAGACAGCGGTCTCTAGCTATCAGGAAGCCTTCAACTCGTTGGACAACAACTCTCAGCAAGAAGAACGAACATCCCAAGAGACGTATGTTGACCGTGCTTGGGATTTAACAGCGACGGCACTCTCCCTTCTTAACAAGCTGGACGAAAAGGAGACAGAACTTTCCTCCAGACTGGATAACTTCGCCCAAGCGGCAAGAAGAAGAGAGAGACAGCTCGAAACCATCAACACACCTCAGGCATCCAACGAATCGTCAAGATGGGCAACCCCGCCACCAGCCACCCAGCTGCAATCAATGCTGCCTAGGCTACAACTTCCCAAGTTTAGCGGAAGACGCGAGGAATGGGGGTCCTTTTGGGCCATATTCCAAGTCACCGTGGACGAACAGCCAATCCCCACGATGATCAAATTTAACTACCTTCTCCAGTCGCTAGTAGGAGAGGCAAGGCAGACGGCAGCACAGTTTCAGGTGGTAGAAGCAAGCTATCAACTAGTCATCGAAGCTCTCAAAAAGAAGTATGGCGAAGACGCATCCATCATCGAAGACCTGTTGATGCAGCTCGAAACCACCAAGGCGGAGGGATTGTCCACTAAGCTACAGGCTAACTTACTAGAACGAATTACAGCCATCCTGACGCAACTAGCCGCGAAAGGCCAGGATGTCAATCAAAGACTAGTGCTCAACCTAGTCTTACGAAAATTCAGTGCCGAGAGTGTGCTGAGGCCGGATTTGATCCCCGGCCTCAGCACCCCCTGCCAATCAATTCGCGCGCCAAAACCCAAGTATTTTAGGCGGCGCACAGTGATCGACTTTGGATCTTCTCAATCGACCATTTCTTCGTCGACCGTGGACTCATACTTTGCTGTCTCCTTATATTGCATAACTCCGAAGTATACTGGTACATATACTCTTTGTTCTCATGATTTACATTCACACTTGCACATATTTTTTGGTTCATTGGTTCCAGTTTATCATTTGCAACTATTTACTGTTTCCATAGTACTCAATAGTGTTCATGTGTTATTTGTTGTGTTCATTTGCTAATTTTCCTCGTGCACTCAGGTCTTTGTGCCTCATTCTCAACGTGAAGTGGTGCTTATCCGTTTACCGGTATTCATCATGATACTCAAAGTTCGATTAAAGTTGCATTACGCCTCGTATTTTTGTTTCGCATGTTTGCTGTTGTTGAATTAATGGTAAATAAAGGGTTTATTTACCCAAGTTTGAGGTGTGTGTCCACGGCGGTGGCTATCCGCGACTACTTCAAGCCGATCTGTTATTCCTAGTTCTGTTATTCGTTCACAATTCATTCAGCGTTTTCGCCCCAAGCTCAGAAAGACCCGCGTGGCAACGAAGCTCTCAAACATCCGAAGTCCCAGTTCTACGCAGCCGGTGAAAGGTGGGATTTCAGTAATCCTTTCACTTTCCTTTCTCTTCTTTCCGAGTTTTTTGGTCAATTTTGAGTACGGGGTCCCCCTCGCTCTCCCCCTTTAGTACCCGGGACCCAACTCAGAAAAGCAGCTTGGACGAGATTTTTAATGGAAAGTTAGGGGAGGTCCTCAGACGAAGATCCTGCCGCCTGTAATTCTTGCTTTGGATAGCATGCATCATGGGGGAGAGCGCTGATGGGGTCCCGCGCCGAACAGGCGGGGAAGGCCGTCCAAGCGCGCGCCAGTTGGGGTTGCGCGCGCCGGTTCAAGGGCCATTTTCTCGACCCAGGGGGAACATCACCCAGCCGGAGTGCGCCTGGAGGTCGATGGGGTGACCAGGAACCCCACCACACGTATATCCCCCAGGACCCGAATCTGCCGGGACACTGCCTTTAAGTCCTTTTAATGCTACGCGGACAATATTTGGTATTTTGCAGGCCACATCGTATGTGTCCAGTCCTTTGGACAGTATGAATAGGGACCATGCCCATTTTCTTCGGTAGCGCACTCCCTCCCATTTGGTTCGCGGATTCCCGCCAGATGTTGCCCATCCTGTTGGATTGTTGTAGAACATCTTCTTTGACACGTGCGCTACTGGTGCAGTGCGCCTCCATTGAAAATCGATCTTACTCATCTCTTCATTTATCCACTAACAATTCCGATCCTCACGCTATGTCCAGACTGATCCGAGCGTGGGCGTCCTCAACAAGAGCTTCCTTGTCGAACGCTGCTGCCTGAGTGCATCGTTCCAGACCGTACAGGAGGAAATTGCCCTTACGATGTTCTCCATCGTTTTCCTCAATGTAATCGGATAACCACTTTGGCAAACCATAGCACACTACCGGCGATGAGTCTGAGCTGCTTGCACGATTCATTACATATTTTATCACCTCATAGAAACACGGGAATTCAGCGCGAGTAACCCTTGCCAGCCGACCTGCCTATCGACTTCGCACCACAGCTGGATCTTCCTTCTACTGTGGTGGTTTCTAGAGCTCCACGGCTGCCTTCAACCTCACTAGCAATGTGGAACTAACTTCTTCGCCTTTCAGCAGCAGCCCCCTTGACAACGTTTTAAAGTTCCCTGTGACTCCTCCGCTCCTTCTGCTGGTGCCTTGACAGGCGCCGACCTCGCTAAAGGGAAGGCAACGGGCTCTTCGCGTTTGGGTAAAAAGTCAATTACCGTGTTTTCAAAGCCAGGGATGTTTACAAATGGTTTAGCTTCGTAATGTCCAGCGCCGTAACATTTTGCTCCCCTACAAGGGCAGAACACAAGCGCGGAGGCCAAGTACCTCCCGAGGCTGTCATGCTGCCTGGTAACACCTTTGTTATCGACATCATGCCACGCTGAACACGCTTGTAGCAAGGATTGTCCATGAGCGGCGATATGCTACCCACGACTTTCAATGCGTTGCGGCATGATAGTCCATGAACATATAGAATGGGCATTATTGTAAATGAGTGTTGGTAGATGAGACGGGCTTTACTACTTGCTCTATCATTCTCGCATCTTCGCAGCGTGCAAAGTGGAGTTCTTTCAAGAAGCTTCATTGCAGACGCAACCAGGCCTTCTCCTCAATTCTAAGCGATCATATTAGCACACGTTTTTTTAATGTCAGTCCTCACTTTTTACTTCACTGACGAGGAAGCTTTTTTCGTTTGGGAAAGTCCTTTTTCGAAACAGTTTTAGTTATCTGCAGCTTTTTCTTAAGAGTTCTGGATCCAGTTGTGGCTAGGTTTGAAACTTTCGATGGAAATCTCTTTGTCATTTATGGCATCAGGCGTAAGTCGCCGTCAAGCAACAAGATGTACTTGAGCTTGTCTGTCAGGACCATTGACCGTGCAGCACGATCGGATTTCACCCATAAAACAAATTAGTTATGCAAAAATAAAACTTATCGGAATCGTTAGATGAAGTGGACCACGTAGACAGAAAGGACTTGCTAGTGCAGGAACTTTATCAAGGAAAGCGCGGAGAAACAAAAAGCGTTCACGGCGGCAGATCAGGCGGAAAAGAAAACAGAAAAAGAATACAAAGAAAGATCTTACTGCGGCACTGCCGCTCCGATCCGAAATAAAACAGCGACTAAATTTTAAAAACAATCAACGCGCGTAGCGCCTCTTTGCGCGCGCAGATCATGTTATCCGATAATCGCCAATATAGATCAAAGTGCTGCCACTTTCTTCAGTTATGCAGAAGTCAGAAGAATAAAAAAGAATTTAGTTTGATGAAAGTTAACCTTGTCTTTCAGAATGTCGCAGTTTTTCAAAGTAATAGGGCGTGCTTGCAAACAGAAAACTTTTTAAAGCTAAGGGCGGCTCTATTTGTCAGTTGATCGGTAACAGGCAGCCGCCAAGGATGTGCAGATGTGGACTGATGGCCGAGTGGATAGCTGCGGAGACTATGGAGCAATAGTTGGTCCCCTCTGCAGCCATTTTTTTCATTTTTGCAAATTGTTTAATGTGTATAACCAGAAGGTCCCCAAGGCAAGGAAAGCTCATAGCAACTTGTTTGATAGCTTGAAACAATAGCCAAAGCAGATCAACGTGATTTTATATTTAGTATCAAACCATTTATGAGCATGTGTGGTAGTTAGTCACAAAATGCTCAAAACACGATAACTTTTCACACAGAGCACATCTAATGAAAAACCTTTGATTACAGTCTCTAAACTCACAATTTCCTAACACGCTAGACGAGAAACGATATTGAAGAGGACTCTCAAATTCGACAAGTAAACGAGAAAATTTTTGAATTTGTGAGAACAAATCTGAATCCAATGAGTGATAAAATCTTGAGGATTGAATCCCGATGATGCAACACAAAATTTAGATTGCGGGCATAACGAGAAAAAGTGCACGAGGTGAAACGCTTGTACATGGCTTTGAAAGAGAGGAAAAAGTGCACATCTAAAGGTTGAATCTGAGAAGTTGTGCCAGAGGAATGTTCGCTATTTTTACGAGCTTTCCATCGAGTGTAACGGTGCGTATGATGCCATAGCATTCCTTTCGTTATGTATCAAACCAAAATATCAAAATTCAGATCACTTCAGATCAAGGCAAATAGGAAGGCAGATTTTGAGCTTAGAGAGCACCAGCAATGTTGGAATCATAAAGGCATATAATATGGAATGAGATAGAATGAGACGAGATAGACAAATACAAGTACTCTTATACACTGAAGTAGACATGTATACCGGCAAAGTTCAGATCATTTATGAGAAGATGAATTAGAGAGATATCGTAAGATTAAGATCTAAAGCCACTCAAAAGTGTACAACTAGAAAAAAGGTCGGTTTCCGGGATTTTGTTGCGTCGTGTTGAAAACCTCGTTAGGTCTTGTGATCACTCTTGCACTTTCGGTTTCGCTTCTAAAAGTTAACTTGTAATGCTTATAAAAATGCTTATAAATGGTGTTAATTTTGGAAAAATACGCACAGCGTGCGGGTATCGCTGTCATTGTTCTGCATCGTACTGGTTTAAGCGGATGCCCCTCCTGCAAAATTCTAGCGAATTAAATTGTACAGATCAAACTTTTTTTAGAGTTTGGCTTACAGTGCAACTTGAAGCCCTTAGCCCTTCTGTATCTCGTGTTTGTACGCTGCGTAATCGGCGATTAGCTCATACAGTTTTTGTTTGCGTTCAGCTTCCGAATCCCAAGGGACATATAAAATCTAAAAGTGTACAGCGCTCTTAAATATCTCTCTCCTACAACAGCTTCCTTGATATGTCTCAAGCCGCCGCTTGCTCTGGGCGCAGCTCAGGCTCTCCTAAGCCAATAAGACCCAAAGCGAAGTCTGAAAAAATAGTGTGATGACACGATTTATAGATCATGTGACATGTTCATTCACCTATTAGCGTTATTTCTACATGGTCTGGTAGGTTGCGCAGGCCCTTTTCTCTGCCTGCTTTGCGGAGAAATCGTATTGAATATTTCTGGATCTTTTCTTTTGTCAGCTGGAAGTCAAGAGTGACTAAACATAATGCGGAAGAAGTCTGACAGGGACCTTCTGAAAAATGTAGCGGAAGAGAGCACTGAGATGTTGACAGGTTGATTCCCCTGGTTGAACGAGGCGACCAGAAGTTGAGGGATTATTACCTGAAAGATGATTGAATGAGCCGTTTCTATAACGCAACAACACTAAGTCTCTTGAACGGTGGCGAATCATCAATTATCCTCTGGTCAACTTTTTACTGCCATTGAGGGCAAGGGGTATCTAGGCAAGTAAGCAAAAATAGCTCCAATCCACAGGAAATACAAAAAACAATGAACGAAATTGTATCACAAATGCTACCATGCTGATAGTTGACAGAGAAGAACAATTATAGGAAGAAGTATGACTCACGATCATACGACAACATCGTTTACAATAACTATCTCCATATCGTGGAACGAATGCAAGGTGATCCCAAGTGGAAAACGACTCCTAGCAGCTCTCTATCTTGCGAAATCATTCCAGCGTACATCGAAATGAACTGCAAAACCACATAATTATAGCTGCGTAGACCATACTGAAAAGCATGCGAAAGCTACCTATGGTTGGACGCGCAAGACTTCATCTATAGTCTGCCCCAATCGGGATCAGGCCGAGCCGTCGGCTGATTGTGCACTCTCGCAGCGCTAGGGGTTTGCGCTGCATATAGTCTGCTCCAATTGGGATCAGGCCGACCGTCGGCGTGAGTTTGCGCGCTCGCAACGCCTGCGCTCTGCGCTGCATATGCGTACTGTCGGAGAGAGCAGAAGGATTGAAGAGAGAACAGAGAAGCAGGCCGTGGGCGTGATTGCGAAACCCTAGCGACGCGGACTCCCGCCATGCCAATTTTGGCCTGGTTGGGATTGGGGCAGACTGTACGCGCGCTGTCGAGCGAAGAGATTGAGGAGAGAGCAGACTAGATAACCGCAGACGTGACGCAATACCCTTACCCTCGCGATACGGATTCCCGCCATGTCACTTTTGGCCTGGTTGGGATTGAGGCAGACTGTAATATATAAAGAATCGTTAACTTAATTCAAAAACCTGCAAATAGCGGGAAACCGTGTGACGGTCTCGAAGCGAACGCTCCTCCAAATAGCACCTTTAGATTACTGGTTCACTAGTCTCAACACAAAATGAAAACTCTCGATGTACCTGCTGCTATTTTTTTCCTCGCTACATTTTCATCGTGGACTCGTAACTTCATGAATGTTATTCAAAAAGAAAACAGACTTTGGATGCATTTCAAAACTAAAATGTAATGCTGATTACCAACTCACTGAACCCTTGTTGCATCTGATTTAGACTGAATGGCATTGCTGCTGTTGGTGTCTGGTAGGGCGGGTAGGTGTAGGTGTATGGTGCGACCTAGGAAGCTTCCAGACCGCGCCGGTTGCCGCTTTTGCAGCCGTTAGCAGCTTTCGCGCCGGTTGCCGCTATTGCAGCCGAAGCCACAGTGGGTCAGAGTATTGTCTTTCTGGCGCATGTGTAGCGCGAAAACTCTTCGATCAATCTATTTTCTTGTGTTTTTTACATTCTTATTCAGTCTGTTATAGGCTGGTTTCGAGGCAAGAGTTTAGGGTAATAGTTGCTCGAATACTTAAAACAACACCGTTGAGCGCAGATTCGCTAGGTACTGCCTAAATTCAGGTGGAATTTACAAAGTGGATTGTTCCCTGCGTTTTTTTTTCAAATTTTGTTGTGCTCAAGCTTCATGCTTTTGTGGGTGATGCGATTGAAAAGCTGGGTGCGATATTGAAGAACATTTGTGAAAATGATGATGCATAAACGTAAGCACGGAAAAACCGCATCACCCACAACAGATATGAAATTTGAGCTTAACACAAAAACGAAAAGGTAAGTAGCAAGGAACACTAGAAGTAACTAGCCAACTATTCACGCTCTAGTTCAATATATAGGCGCCGTAAAACCTAATTGCCCGCGCTGTGCCTTGTACACAGGCGTAAGTGAGCGGTCGTCGCGAACGACTGTCGGCGTTCACTATATTCTAAGAAATCATTCTTCAACTTTCATGTTGTTCTCATCAATGTAAGGTATATCTTGGCGAAAGCTCCCTTCAAAAGTCCGAAAAATGTGTGTGGAAAGGGTGTGCGCTCATTGTCGCTCGCAAAAAACCTGTAGCGCTTCGGGACCAAACGTTTCTAGCCGCGCCGCGCGTTGGTGTACAAAGCGACGAGTGGGCAATTGGATTTTACGGGGCCTGTACGTTGTGAGTGATGCGGTTTTCCATGCTTGCACCCATGCCTCATGAATTTGCGCAAATGCTCTTCATCATTGCATGCAGCTTCCCTAACCGCATCATCCACACAAAGCACAAAACATGAGCTCAATAAAGATTGGAAAAAAGGAATAAACAGGTCACTTCGTAAATTCCAGCTCAATGTAGACGATAGCTAGCGCATCTGTCCTAACGGTGTTTCACTTCGAGCAATCTAATATATAAAGAATCGTTAGCTCAATTCAAGAATCTTTCAATATCGGGAAGCCGCGGTGCGGTCCCAAAGCGCGCAGATACCTAGCACTTTAATTACTGGATCACTAGTTATTATTCAAAAAATCGTATCTCGAAACCAGCCTGTAACAAACAAATTGGAAATAGATGTAAAAAATGCAGAAAAATACATTGATCAATGAGTTTTCGCTCCGAACGCGCGCCAGGGAAATAATTGACCTACTGCGCTTCGGCTGCAATAGCGGCAAACGGCGAGGTCTGGAAGCTCCCTAGCATGAACAGGAGGCTTGAAGGCACTAAAGCATCTAATAAAAATTTTGCAGCAGAAGTGGAAATGGAAACTAATTCGCTGGTGGCATTGCTTGCGCCGGAAAAGGTGACGAAGGCTGGTGGTTGTATGAGCTACAGTCTGCCCTAATCCCAACCAGGCCAAATTTGGCATGGCGGGAGACTGCGTCGCTAGGGTTTCGCGGTCATGCCCACGACCTGCTTCTCTGCCCTCTCTTCAATCTTTTTGCTCTCTCAGACAGCGCGCACATGCAGCGCAGACCGCTAGCGCTGCGAGCGCGCAAATTTACGCCGACGGTTCGGCCTGATCCGGATTGGAGCAGACTGTATTTTGGTTGGTAGGAGCAAGAGGAAGCCCGTAGGCTGAGTAACATACATTGCACTCGAACATCGCGCCCGAACTTAGTGATAAAAACTTGTGTTGCATACTTTGATTCTAACTCAAAAACCGCATAGGAGTGGAAATACCGTATTGGAGCTTATTCGTAAGAAATCAAACATAAACATTCACTATGCGCCAACGGCGTACAAAGCAATCAGGATGCTATAATGGTTGAAGATTTGAAAAAAACTATTTTGCAGATGTACAGATGAAACTGGAAACAAGAAAGGAAAAGAGGATGACTGTGAACAAAAGCGTATACCAAAACCGTTTGTGATGCTTACTCATTAGAAATTCATAAGAGGCATTTTAACACATTGACGACCATGCAAATTTATAGTTGTCTGCCGTCTGGAACCAAGGCCTTTCACGGACCAGCCCACAGCTTTCAACTATAATTACGCATAATGCCATCTACACTACACCTACAGTAGATCTGAACGGCTGACAAAAAAAATTAGAGGTCATCCCTAGATTCAGTGCAAAAGAGAGCTCATGGAATGAGTTTATCCCAAGATAGCAGTCATTTTGACAGAATTCAAACCTCGACACACATGGTGTGTCAAGCGGTCCCACGCGGCAGTCATTGCTTGACACACTATGTGTGTCAAGCTGTCGTCAATGTGTTAAATACAGTGAGGCTTTAGGTACTCGCGGGGTACTGAGCCGTGTTATGATCAATTCCTTAACAGAATCTAACAAAAACATAGCATAGCAGGATGCACTCTGATAAACAAATAAAATCTATTTGTATGAATTTGTGAAAAAGGCTAGTCGAGAGATGAATTTTGATGGTGTCAAAAGTAGAATAGTCATTCGAATTAATTTCAAGCTTGATAGAAAAATGTCAATAGTTGGCAGATATGCCGACGATTGCTATAGTTCATGTGCAGCAAACACATCTTGTAGCACATGATGCAAAAGACACGACTCCACCTTCATACAGCCTTCGATAGCCTATTTACACTTCACGCTAAGTCACAATGGCAAGAAATCATATCAGGCATGCAAGTATTTGTGATGTTCGAAAGGCATTGAAAATAATACTTAGGAACTATAGAAAATCATATCTTTGCTTTTTGACAAAAATTTAGAAAGGATCAGGGGCAAATACTCACTGGACCATTGGGCACACTTGGAAAGTGTGTCACCGATGGCGGCGGTGGTTGGGATGGCCTCTCAAAGATCTCATCTGAAAAACTTTGCAATTACGATGTACGAGCGGAATGGAATTCTGTAGAGAATGTAATTCACATCTGCGGTTGTAATGTGGTGAGAGATTGTGCGAAGTAGCGGGAAGTGGGTAGGGGTAGGGGGCTGAAAAGGAGTGCTCCGAGAGGCTTGGAGAAATCCCACCTTCAGAGGAACCGCATTGGACGGGTTAGCCATCCAACAGGATGAGCCCCACCTGCAAAACTTGGATAAAGCCTTTAACCCTTCAGACAAAATTGGAGCTGAATGACGAAAGACCGAAATAAAGCAAGCAAAAATCATAGAAATTATATTTCTATATTGACTGGAGCCAATAAAAGTGATGCCTTCTCATAGCATTTATGCTGTCCGCTCATATAATTCCTGCATTCGCATCTCCGTCGTTTCCCGGTCGCTGCCCAGCCTAACGGAGCCGCTGCCTCGTCGCCGCTTTCTGGCTGCTTCTGGAGCAATGAATGCGCTCTGCAGCTGTTTTCTAACTCATGGAAGTTTGTAGCTGCCCGCTCACCGCCATTCTTACAGTACCGTCGCCTGCTCACTGTCACTTTTGCAGTATCGCCGCCCGCTCACTGAAACTGCTATTTATCGCCGCCTCACCATAGCCTTTGATTGTCTGAGTTGAATCAAATTTCGCTGAATCCACTTGATGCGCTTGATCCACTTCGTCATTGGTCAAGCCAGGGAACTGACCAGTAGTGAAGTTGATGAAGTGAACAAAGCGGATCAAATGGAGAATCGCTTCGCTATTGGTCACTTCAATGAATTGAGCAATGACGAAGCAGTTTAAGTAGAGCAGTTGGATCAAGCGGATTAAGTATGGCATGTGACTTAGAGGCAGTTTTCGGATCTGCCATTACCAGACTAGAATCAGCATCTCGCAGAATTTGAACTGATGATAATTCGTTTACCTTTGCGCTAATTTGCTCCGCCTGAAAAAAGGTAGCTTGAAGAGAGCGAAAATGTCGAAAGAGGCATTACGTGAAGCCCACAACTTCGAATCAGACATGTGAAACAGTGCTCTAGGTTGCAAATGCAAAATCGTCGTGGGAACCATGGGTTATACTTTCTGCGGTATTCATTCTAGCACGCATCTGACAATGATCGGGTGGGGTAACGGAAAAGCGCTTTTTCTCCTCTTGATATCTCGCTTTGGTAGGACCCCTGCTCAACGTTATAAAATTCTAGCAACCTTAGGTTCTGCCAGAACAATCCTCGAGAGTTGAAGGAGTCAAGAATTATGCTAATGTACTGCAGAAGAAAGCGATACTCGTGAACATATTAAAATTTAATGTGCTAGTATACAGGGTGTCCCAAAGTTTGGAGCAAATTACCCCATATTCTCTTCGATATTGTAAAATCACCATAGGGAATTTACAGCACACAGCGCCTCCGTGAAATAAATCGTTCAGAAAGAGGTGTTAAAAAATCTAAAAAGTTGTGTAGCAGTGTTTGCAGACAAGCTGATTTCAAACAACTTTTCACAAGATTCCCATTTTGTTTTCATTGCTTTTATCATATGACTAAAAACCCTGAAAAAATGTTGTTGCGACTTACCTGGCATAACTTAGAAAAAGCTTTTCGATAACATGCGGTTTCATGATCATAATCAGCAACTCAGTTTAGCTTAATGATAATGTATTTAGCTTGTTATGTAAATGTGTGCATCAATTCTGAGGCATAATGTAGCCAATAGCGCCTCAAAATTTTCGCCAAATTTTCTACCGTAGTAAAGTAAAGAAGGTGAGCGATTCGCTCTCTACTGAAATCCAAGTTGAAACCTGCTCTGTTGAGAACTACTTAAGGGTAACCAAAAAACTTTGTTGGAAGAGAGTTTTTTCACTATTTAAAAGTATGTTCTTACTTTTGAGACCTATATTATATATCAGTGCTTTCCTTATCACTTCTTCTGGTAGAAGTGAGACCTGTGTTGCTTACAACCTCTTACCATATCCCATAACTTTCAATAGGCAGAAATGCAGGAAACACTCAAAAATTTTTTTTCAACATTCGGCAAATTTACCAATAACTTTATTATATGAGTCAAATTTATGATGTTATTTATTATTACCATCATCTGAGCTGTACAATCTCATCTTTCAGAAAGTGCAGAGATACTATAACCAAACATAAAATGCAATTTTTAAAGTGGGATGTTCTGAAGGAACAAAATTGCATAAAACGGTACTTGAGGATGTGAGAGGGGTTGGCTAATATATGTGCAAAGTAGATTTAGCCATAGATCATTCTGAATTCATACAGATATATAAAGCATTACATAACGTTATATGGCTGCTGTTTGCCGAAAAGCTATACAGGTGACGAGATCTTTTGTTGCTTCACAGTAGAGATTCGACGCGAAGACATAGGAAAAGTGGCCTCTTGAGCAAATTACATCAACATTGCCGCCGAACTTCTCCTCTGCGGCCACGTTGATCTTCCGTTTTGACTCGGACGAGTTCGTTGTCATTTGCTGAAAGGTTCATTATGTGAACGTGTTATTTACGCTTCTAAGTATGACATATATGTGTTTTACTGGGTGAAGCAGTAATCTAAAGGTGCTAGATTTTCAGGCGCGTTCGCTAAGCAGGGCTCAGCACAGCTGGCACCGGGTCAAGCTGGATATCGTTTTTAGCGCGGAAAGCAAAGGGGATATCGTTTCTACAGGGGCCGAGGCGGAGAACTTCCGCAAAAATGCCGCCGGCATGCCACCGGCATGCCATTGGCAAGCTGTCCATCAACAAACAAAGGCGTTGTTTTCAGCCAAAACGCAATAGTATGACACCAAATTTGGTGTGTGCATGCGCGTTGGTGAACCGGAACTACGGGCCAAAAATTTATGAAAACTTATGTGAATGAAAGCTGTGCCCAACTTTTTTCTGAATTAGCTGGCACCGTGCCAGCTGGGTGCCAGCTGAGCTGGCACCGACACTTTGCTCACATAAGTTTTCATTTTTTTACATAAAATGTATCTACACCGTAAAAGATTACATACGGAGAAGAAACAGTTTCATAATGTTCTCTTTTCAGCGTTTTATAGCAATTTGAAAACCACTCGGTCCGCTCCGCCGTCGAAAAATCGGCTTTTTCTGCTTCTCAACATGTGATTCGACCACTTAAAAAGCTCAGAAAGCTGTGGAAAGTTCTTTCATGAAATCAGAAATGCATGAAAACACTACTACATTTTTTTACATAATATAAAAATGATGACGGGTTTTCAAAACAGGTCAAAAAGTGCTTCGTACGAAATTTTCAATATCAAACGGGACTTCGTTTTGAAATTTCCCTGGTGCCAGCTCGTGCCGAGCCCTGTCGCTAAGCCACGCGGTTTCCCGCAATTTCACCTTTATGTATAGTCACAACAATTTTTTGTATATAATTAGAGGCAAATTTACATGATAAGGAAGAAGACTATGTGATTGTCAGAAACTATTTTTAGCGGAAGTGATTTGTTTGAGCTAATAAGAAGTGGTTGCTGAAACGAAAGACGCAAGAATTTTTTTGTTTATTTTAAGTAGCGACGTGCCAGCTTTTACAATGAATTGGAAGATATTGCTCTTCACCAATCCTAAACAGACTCAAGGCATGATATCCGCTCAAGAAAGCTGATATCTTTGGGGCATAGGGAAATTCACAGATTCCAAATATTGGAAGCAAATAGTGGAAAATTACAATGTTGGGATGTCAAGTCTGGGATGTCATTACATATATTGCCGACAAATCAGGTAAGCTAATAAATAAGTTCTGCGGTTTTTTTTGGCTCCTAGAAATATTATAGGCAAATTTTGTTTTATTTTTATTATCTTTGGAAAGGGCACTTCAACGAGATTAGAAATCCTTGAGTGCAATTCATTTTCCAACGAGCAACGCGCAAAAAAGTACCGCATTTTTTTATTGTGCGCAAATGTGGAAAAATTACAGAATTTGAAAATGGTAAACTATTTATAGTTATTTGCTAGATAGAGAGAACGGCTCTTTATCCATATGCCAGATTCTTCATCTCTATACCTACCAAAGCATAAATACGTAATTCAAAAACTAAAAATCTGAGCTTTTGGAGATTCAACCATGTCGGGATTTAATTGTCTTTTACTGATAATAAGAAATTCATAGCTGATATGTGATAACAGAAGCCTCAAACTACTTCAACGCAAAAAAAACGTAAAGAAGGATCGCAGAGTTACATGCGTTTCCATTAATATTTGGTATTGTTTTTTATTCTTAAATATTTTATTACGATTAAGGCGTTGGTGTATCGTATCTTTTAGTGGTAATTACTTCTGCGCATGCATACATATTTTTAATTTTGCGAAACCTGTGCTGCGTCGATCACGCATTGCCATTTGAGTAGTCCTTCTCAGCTACCCTTTTTTGATAACTTAGAGCTTTGGTTCTCACAATTCCAAAAAGCACAATCTCCAAAGCGCGAAAAGCTTTTAAAATGACTTCATAACTCTGAAAGGGAAAATTGTAGAGTGGAGGGTGACTGCGCCTTGAAGCTAGAATTTTTCAATTTGTTCAGCTGAAATGTTTTGAAATTATCTCTGAAATTTCCCCTGAAATTTCGCGTCACGAGTAAAATGCAATCTGCGTTTTCGAAGTTCAGCGCAGATTTGCAGTCAAGGAATCAAGATCCCAATTTGAAATGCTTACATCAAGCATAAGTTTCTTAAGCACTTGGCTGTTGCATTTTGAAGAAGCTTCTGGAATTGGTGTTGTCGGCAATGACTCTTCCTCTTCTTCATTTTCACTCGCAGAATTGTCTGCTAATGCGTCTTCCTGAAGATGATTTTCCTAAACAAGGTGAAGAGTACTTTTTCTCTAGTTGATATGAAAATGAATAAAAGTAGTTTAATAAATCATCAAAATAGATAGTAGAGAGTACCGTCGGCGTCACAAGTCCTTCTGGCGTTCGCCGCATATCTTCTTCGGTCTCGAGTCTTACGGAAACGTCAGGAGTTTCCTGCTAAAATTGATGTTAGCTGTACATTACTAATGATTCTCTTTCAAGCACGTACAACCGTGGCTGTCCCTGAATTTTCAGGAATGGAAGAGATAGCCTCCTGTCGTTCGACCAGCTTTTCAAACTGCTCTAGATTGTTTGGAGTATGCTGTTGTGCTATAGGAATACCGAAGGCTGCTGCTCTCTAAACAGTTCCTTTAACAGTTGGAACAAATTTGAGAAATATAGTCTCTTAGCCTTACCATTTCCAGTTCGTCGGGTAGAGCTATAGGAGCAGTTTGTACTTGGTGTGTTGTTACTCCATGGATTGGCTGACAGCCAGGTTGCGGAGGACATGATGGATTAGTTGGCGGACAACCACATGAGGGAGCTAAGTTACTGCATATGACCAGAAAACAGAAAATGAAGTTGTGTGCAAAGATGGATTTAATTTTGGGATGTTTCTCGTTTTTTTTCAATGCGCTTGCAACGGTTGTCTGGAAACCAATGCAGTTCCTTACGCCTGCGGTAGAGTAGATATGAGAACATAGGAAACATATAGTTCGATAGAGGAAAAACAAGCACTATAAAATAGGATAATTGTAAAAAGTTTGGTGCACATAGAGTTTGAAAATAAAGCCTAAAAAATTCCACTTCCGGAAAATTCCAACCCCCAAAACACGATCATTTTGAATGCCATTAACTCATTTGTGCGAGGTACAGCAAGACGGATTATTTTGCCGAGTGAAATAATTTCTTGCAGAAATACGGAATTTCGCAAAAGAATAGACGACAGGCGTTCTGCAAACGCTGAACGTTGTCGAAGTCTAAAGCTCTGCTCACGTTTTAGAACCGAGAATAGACTTTTCTGTGATTTTTGAACTTCTGTGCAACGCCATTTTTGAAAAGTACTTATGAACATATGAAAAAAAGCAACCGTGAGCATAATTTTCGCCTGCTTCCGTTCTCGCCTTGAGTGCTCTTTTTTGCAATTGCGGCACACTACCCATTGCCTTCGCGTTGCGGTGGTCGAGGCCCCCACTGTTGTTTCGCTTTACTTGTTCAGGTTCACCACTTCAATTTTAGAATGGTTTTAGGAGGTTTTCTTAGCCTGGAAAAGTCGTTAGAGGAGATCGAAGACCAATGAGGCCTCCTTATGACCGCCCTTTCCGCTCGCTCAGGGTCCCTGACGAGTGCGCCCGCTCAAATTGGTCAGCCAGCTCTCGTAATATCTGCCTTCACCTGCGCTTGAATAAGAAAACAGGATCTCGGCAAAGGTTTACTACTTCTTGGAGAAGAAAATCGACGTGGTCATTACAGCAAGGGACGAAGTGATCCAACCCAGTATGTGTTTTGGTGTGAAATAAATAACTCAATCCCGCATATGCTGTTCACTTCAGACATCCATAAGTATAATTGCTGTATTTTACCCATGGCTGGCAACTGAGAGAATAAAAGTTGATATTACCCCCTATAAGTAGTTCTAACAACAAACCTCAAGAATTACAACCAAAGATTTTCAGCATCCCACAAGCCTTACATTCCGGAAAGTAGTAAGTTTAGCTTAGCAAAACGATATTTTGCACTTGGCCAAATTTGGAAAAAAGGTGAAGCTAGTGCGCATATAAATGTTTGATGTGGAGAATATATGCGTGAGGAGGTTTACGAGCTTCTTTTGAGCGAAGGTATGATTTTTGGCTGCTCGATTTCTTTTTGAAATCCTGCTTTCAACTCTCACACAAACCAATCTGCGGTGTTTCAAATTTTGTTTTATAGAGAGCTTGCTTTGCTTTTCGAACGATACGTTTATTCTGTTTTATCTATCCTATCTTGATAGCCTAAGGGACTGCATTGATTTCCGACACAATACAAAAATTTTTCACAAAGCTAATTTGAACTCTAAAAGAATTCAAAAATCATTTCGATTGTTACTAATCAAGATACTCTAACAGTTTAACTGTTGTAACTACTCGAAAATTTCGCTACCCATTCCCTTTCCTCCCCCATTGGCGCCTTATAAAACTATGCAAGTGACTCAGAAGCACTGTCAGTTGAATAATATACATGTTATGTGATTGAGAGATATAAATTTATTGCACTGTTTTTGCTTCAAGGACGAGTAAGAGTTGCTGGTTTATAACATCGCTTTTTCTCCGAGGATGGACAAGGGATACAAGTTCAGATATCATCATTGACAGATACTAAGAAAGATCAGTGATCCAATTAGGCGAGAATTAGCGCGACGAATAACGCAACCAAACAGATACCAGAAAGAGTTATTATATATCTTATTATGTGAGCAATATGTGCTGTTGCAAGCGAACCGACTCTGGAAAAAAGGAAAAACATACAGTTTTACAAAACAAATGAGAACATGCGCAAATAATGACGATTGAGAAGATTGTCAGAAATTGATGAGGAGATGAGCATGTACTTGCACACTAAAAGTCAAATTTGTTTTGCAACCTTTGTGGGCTCTCCTGATCTTACAGGGGAGGCCCATTTGGTCGAAGTGGCCTTTCCATATGAAATCGATACGACTATAAAGAGCATCGAACGCTGATTCCAAATCTTTTTTCGTTATCTGCCGAGAGCCTTTAGATGTCGAGTTATGAGCTTTTTTGATTTAAAAATTGAGTGCATAATCAGCATAAAATTCTTCAGAATTGCTCAAATGGTATAATTCCTGATAATCAGAGCGCTCCATTTGAACAATATCTTCTGTTCAAAATGCTCATACTTAACACTGCTCTGTCTGAGTACTGAAAAGACCGTAAAATATGATTTTACCTAGAACATGCGGTATTTCGCACCAAGAAAATATTCATAACTCGGCATACAGAGGCGCTCGGCAGATAACAAAATTAGAATTGGAATCAGCGCTCGATACTTTTCAAAGTGGCATTAAACTTATTTGGGAATGCCACTTCAAATAATCGGACTTCCCTTGTTAGGCGAAATGTTACAATTCTTAATGACTGAATTTGAAACAAGTTAGTAGTAATAATCAAATAATCCAACGCAAGCTTTTTCGGAGCTTATATTCAATGATAGCCGAGCAACAAAGGTGGAATGTACGTGTGTATAAAAATGTGCTGGCGACTTCTTTTTACTAATAAATGAATAAAATAATTTTGAAAATTTTCAAAAAATTCAAATTAGCCTTGTAAGAGATTTTTCCGAATGGCTACCGCCACGCCCCCTTTTCGTGAAATTTCGGGGTTATGGGCCTTCAAAAATTTTGGGAAGCATTTCAGAAAATTTCTGCTTGGCTCACGCAATGCATAAGGAAAAATTTTTTGTTCCCCCTCTCCCAAAAAAGAAATCCGGGGTACGCCACTGTTCAAAGCTAATCATTTTGTTCATCTGATTGGGGACTGACATCGTGCATCATGCGTGAGCAAAGTCCTTCACCTTTACCATCTGGCAAAGCCTAATATAAAATTGAGCTGAAAGACTTACTTGGTAGGAAAAATGCCGTAGATAATGGAAACAGCACTTGAAGTAGTAATAATTGCAGGAGCATCCTGTAATGATGTGAATTAGAAGCAGAAAAGGCATGTCGGAATCTTGGAAGAGAGCAACAAAAAATCAATGCTATCAGACAGCAGGAATTATTGCGGAATAGAACGAGACATCCATTTATAATAGTAAAATTTCATGGTGCCTATGATTGATGTCGTCCAATACCATTGAATTCGCGTGATTTTTCGCATAAAAACAGTTCTGGTAGTTTGAGGAACACTCGATGACGGGGTTGCAATTACCAGGCAATCGCGAATGTGACGGCATAATTTGGTTTTTTAAAGGCAGCGTCCGGGCAAAATTTCGCCTCTCATGTTTCTGCCTTTCTGGGGCCTTTCCGTGGCCCTGATTACAGTTGTAAAGTCCAAAACTGTTCAAAACTCCCAAAAAACCCGGTTCTTGGGGACCCTCTCTTCAAGGAACGGACGAGTTTCGCATTGCTCGTCCCCATCATCATGCCAGCGGGAGGAGCTGCAACTGCACGGATGCAGTTGCATTGCATGTGCAGGGCAACTGCAATGCAACTGCAATGCAACCGCACACCTGCGTAAGCACTCGTCCTCAGGGGTGGTTTGTGATACGAAGGGGCGGCTTGTGATACGTATCACAGGCCCGCATCTCCTTTTAGAGGCCACCTCAGAGGATCGGACCAACGCAGATCGGATACTCATGGGCCCCTCTTTACAACTATGTGCTCATCTGGGTAGATGGATCTTGCCCGGACGCTGCCTTTAAAAAAAGCTCTGGCTCCGCATTTACCTGAAAAGCCGTTCGAGGCTAATAGTCCGCGAATGATTCAGTATTTAATGTCAACTGAGATAAAGAAGACATTAAAATTGACTTCTCTTCATAATGTACTTTTTTCCTTACTAATTTTTCCAAGAATAATATATAATAAACAGTTTGTTGCAGAATACTTAATGACCGTTGCGGAAGTGTTGTTTTCAGCAAATGACTATGGCTAGTTTTCGCGTATTCATCTCGAATCCAGTGAAAAGAAGATTGGACTAAATTTTATTTTTTGAGCAAATTATTAGGTTGATGCTTCTTCCACAAAAATTTTGAAATTGTGTTACTTGCTCCAGCTTCAATAAATCTTCTAATTTGAAAAGCGCTAAAGGGAAAAAATCATACGCTTTCAGTGCTTGGGTTGAAATTCCTTGAGGGCATCTGGCAACGATATAAGTTGATCAAGAGGAATACTCAAGAAGTGATTTCTCGATTTTTGGTTGCTACAATGTTTACTGAGATTTGAATCTATTTTTGTTCTCGTTTTTATATCCTACTCTTTTTGAATGAGAGAAATTGGTATAGATTGGATATCTCAACGAATAGTTGTAAGTTTTGATTTTTTGGAATCGAATTATTGGTTTTGTTTCAAATTGTTTTTAATGTAATATAGAATACTACGCTCAATATACAAAACGAAGAGCACAATGTGCAAATCATTTAGTTTGTTTGTTCATTTTCAAGATGTTTTTTCCTATTTTTCGTGCAAGGATTGTACATCAACCTAATAATCTGATAGCTAAAGGTTCTCGTGCCCTCAACCTATTTGAATAAAAAGTCGGAACAAATCCTATTCAATAAAAAGACATCGTAAGGTTAGACACCAAACGCATCAATGAAGGAGATAGAAAATGGAAAAAGCATTGCAGCAGCAAAGCAGCATTGCATGTTTCGTCACGGTCAAACACTTCATTGGTACGGGAATAGAAAAAAGCGCAACCGTGAAAACATGAGATAGCCCATGAAAAGACACACTTGCATAACTTACAAGGAAAGGATACCAACATTAGTTGGCGATTATAGACGAGGTTTTTTATATCACTATACGCGTCTCCGAATGCTGATTCCAAATCTGCTTTTTTTGCGGAATATTTCTCCGAAAGAAGTTATGAGCTTTTGAGTGTACAAATTTGAGTGGCTCAAAATCAGCGAAAAGCTCCAAAACAACATCTATGTTGACTTTCACTGACTATATTCCTTTCCTGTAGTCAATACACTTGATACAAAATTCATTCCACATTTTCAGGTGTTTTTCTACAGCTTTTCGCTAATTCTAAGCCACTTGAAGCTGAGAAATTTGGACATTCAAACGCTCATATGTTCTTTCGGAAAGTTGTTTCGCAAAAAGGAAAGCAGATTTGGAATCAGCGCTTAATGACTCACCTACTGATATGCATACATCTCGTTTTTAATCGCCAACTTATGTTCGTATCCTTCCCTTATTAGCCAATGTGCATTTAGATGGCATTGATTTGTGGCAAAATTTCAAAAGCATATCACTGCATATCAGTGGTGTACCGAGGGGGAGGGCGCGCCCGCGCCCCCCCCCCCCCCCCGAGCCGAAATCCTGGGTACGCCACTGCTGCATATCTCCAACAATGGCATCTGTCACCCGCAGTCAGAAAGGGTCATCACTGACATAGCGTGAGGAACTGGTGAACTTCAAAGCATTATACTTCACAATCTCAATGACCTCACACTTCAACAGCTTATCAGTTTCAACAGAGTCTCAGCAGATATTGGAGGTACATAGACCTGGTATCATCTATCAGGAGTATCTAATGATATGTATTGTTTGCAGCTGCGACTTGAGATCCTTTCTAATTTTTTGAAAATCGCTGCTCTGAGGAAAAAATTATGAGTTGGTAAAAACTGCAATTTCTTTTAAACAAATGTTAAACTAGTGCTCATTTTCAGGCATAATCTTGAAATTTTTCTGCATATTCGACTCCAAGTCAAGAAAAATAGCAAATCACATCGAGAGATGGAGGGTGTGTTGGTTTCATCGTCTTATTCTATACGAATAAAAATTGTGAGAATACTATATGCATCTGAGAAATCTCCCAGGCAAATAGCGGATTGAGACTGTGAATGAGAGTTTTCAATGGAACGAATGAGCAGTATTGCGTGTTTCATCACGGTCAAGCACTCCATTGCTAGAACGGAGTAAAAAAAAGAGTGGCCATGGAACTGCGAATTGATTCACGCGAAACTCGCATCTATAGCTCTCAATTTACTGGATGTGAGATTGATTTTGATTTGAGACAAAGTCAGATTATAATCGTATTAAAGTCTATAGAAGGCACTGAATTCTATACCAAGACTTTCATTCTGTTTCAAAATCACATTAGCTCTGATTCGACTGCTTTGTAAAAATGAAAGATTATAAAATAAAAGATATTCAATCAAAAAAGCTGTTCGAGTTTTGCGGCTATGATAGCATTATGTATCTGAGGGAAATCTATGACAACTGACAATAAGAAGTGAATTTTCAAGAAATGAATATACTCTTCTTCTGCAAAATTTTCAAATTCTCTGCAAAACAAAAGCCAAGACGAGTCTTTACGAAAACAGGCTAGTCATGGATTTCTGTGACTAGTAAAAACGCGGACGTTGCGGTGCTTAAAAACAGAACTGGAGCTCATTTCAAACTGGATCCCGACAAAGCTAATTTTAAAGGTAAAAAGAAAAATAGCCATATTTAAAGAAATGGACAAACAGCTGTACAACCGACAAGAACTGCATTGCAGAAACAGGATTGGGCTAAACAAAAGCTGAAAAGCTTTTGCCTTATTATGGCTCATGCTAGTCTGAAAATTTTTTTCTTGATTGGCAGATGAAGAAGGCGGAAATTTGAGAGAGTATAAATATTCACAATCATTTTCGATTACTCCAAACACAGTTCTTCATAAATTGTCACTACATTATTATACGACGGAAAACTTACTCCAGACAATGGGAGAATCATAGATGTAGCGAGTAAGCAGGAATTCACTTTAGGTACAAGGATCTTGCGAGAAATAGAAGAAATGACGAAGTAAAATGGTCTGGTAGTTCTGACAACAAAGTCAACTGCTTTGAAAACGATTGCGGTCAGAGGATAGTCCCTCTTATAACAGCGAGTATGTCGAAAAAAAATAGAAAAATACCTCAATATTCGCAAAAATTTTGCGCTTTGGGGTCATTTTCTATGGACAAGTGTTGTCGCCAAAGGGAGCATACTACATATATGAGCTGTTAACACCTTGACGATGAGGTCTCATTTTGCGTGGCGGTGCAGTGGGAAAACGCGATATTGCAGAACATTTTTGTTGTTGTTTATTTTGCGGTTGTTTACGAGATACGAGAATGTTTTGTAAACATCTGTTAAAATTTTTCTGGACGACGGAGTCTACAGATCCCAAAGTCGCCATAACCCCGAATGCAAAATAGAAAAATGTTAGATTTGAAAATGATATGCCTCTGCAAGAGGTGTAGGTCACCGATGGTCCCTGCAGCGAGAATGTGAGGGCCACCGGTGGTCCACATCGTCGTCAATGGGTCAATTCACTGGACAACACTAAACTATGTATTGTTATTGTAGCCGACGACGAAAGTGTGTAATTATCATGGCTCCAGCTGCTATTTTGTGCGATTGCACTACTTTCTAGTAAACTCAAACTACTGCGCTTAATTTTCTACTTCGCGCAATTTCTTAAAATCAGTTTTATTCTCTTCGAACTACTTTTTACTATGTCTGTTTACTATTTCTACGCTTCCACTGGCTTGCTCGTCTGCTAATCCCAAAAGTGGTGCAATTAAACAAAGTGAATGCAAAAACGAGGGCGGCTGTGTACAAAAAAAAACAACTTCCAAGCGTTTGGTGAACAAAAAATTACTGCGCTTATGGAGTTATTAACGCAAAGAATACATTGTGCAATTAGGGCCCATAAAATCTTGAAATGCTAAGAATTTCAATAAAAAAAAGCACTCAAAAAAGAGCTGCATGAAAACGCCTATAAGGAAAGTAGATCAGGAACGTTTGCTGTGAAGAGTAAATCATAGATAAATGATTCGATTATTGGCTAACTGGAAGAAGTAGAGCGCGATAAAGACAATAGAAATTGCAATAACGGAAATCTTATGAGAATGATACTTCTTCTTGTAGAAGCGCTTCGCAATCGTAACTGGATCAGATCAGCGAGAGAGAAAGCGGGAACGTTGCATTAATAC